TGTTGCTACCGTGTATATTGAATCAGAAGACTCAGATTCCGGATTTGTGGTTTATTATTAGGCAACTTCACAGTTAAAACAGCACAAAACAGAGAACACAGGAAAACACGTCCGCCCGCCAGCGCGGCAGCCGGAAAAGAGGCGGGAAGCTCTTTTTTTTCACGACTCGATGGTGATCGGAGTCCCACAGCAACCGGACCCGGATGAAGAATATCCAAACCAAGGGTCCTCAAAAAGTATATAGGCAAATACAAAAAGACAAACTAAATTAAAACACACGGATAATAAAATCCGTGACAGAATCCCTCCCTTGTTTAGGATGAAACTCCACAAGTTTCATTCTCAAAATCGAATTAAAAAAAACACAAAACAACCAAATTTTTTAAAGATTATGTACCCCTTCCCCTCTTCAAAATATCTTTCACATAGCCAAATGGTTTAAACAAGATGATACAATAAAAAAAGGTTGTGAACGAAATTGCTCTTCAAATCCTATTCGATATGAATTCCGCTTGACTTGCTTGGCACAGATGTCTTGGTAATTGATTAGCAATGACCGAAACTGGTTTTTCTCATCTTCATTCAAATGTTCCACTTCGGACAACAACGGCTCGAGGTGCTCAGGCAAACTTTCCCCCACTTCAGGATCAGGGTTAGACATTTCAGCAATTTGATAAACTTCCCCCCTTGGGCAAACTATTCCCACTAAAGTACCCGCCTCGACATGCACCGGTTTCTGGCTCACGTTGACCACACACATTGGGATTACAACGGCCCAGGAATTCATCACTGCAGGCAACACACCAATCCCCAAATCCAAAACCGGTCAAAAAAATCACAGCCAGCTTCAATCACCGCACACATGCCGGGACCTCCATCGTTACACCAAGGCTCACTCAGCCCACCAAAAATGTATGTTTTGCCTGAGACACCGCTCCCGAAGTCGCCAAGTTTATGATGTTTCCGGTAAACTCTTCGTCCATGCTGGAATTTGTTTTATTTTCCCGATCGTCCGAACCTTCGAAGTTGCCGTCAGTTACTCCGCCAAAACCGCCGCAGTGCTCGCCATTATCACGGTTCGGATGTTGATCATATCCGGGCGTGCTCGCCATTATCACGGTTCGTGATGTTGCTACCGTGTGTATTTAATCAGAAGACTCAGATTCCGGATTTGTGGTTTATTATGAGGCAACTTCACAGTTAAAACAGCACAAAACAGAGAACACAGGAAAACACGTCCGCCCGCCAGCGCGGCAGCCGGAAAAGAGGCGGGAAGTCTTTTTTCTCACGACTCGATGGTGATCGGAGTCCCACAGCAACCGGACCCGGATGAAGTATATCCAAACCAAGGGTCCTCAAAAAGCCTATAGGCAAATACAAAAAGACAAACTATATTAAAACACGGATAATAAAATCTGTGACCATAGCAACCTAGTAGTACTTGACGCAGAATTTCATGAAATTCCGTCTCTACAAATATATGAATGTCTATAAGAGTTTCTCGTCTTTTTGCTGACATTGAGACATAGCTGTAAATTTTCAAGACAACATTCAAATTCCTTAAAGCAAATTTCAATGTATTGTGTACAATGTGTGCACTGCAGTTAGCCGTAATAATACTATCATTTAGTGTGCGAACATTAGTATAAAGATTTTTTTCTCCAAAATTGCAATTTGCGTTATCTTCACACTCTTTTCCAATCAAGTTGTAAATTGTTCATAGTGTTTTTCAAACAAGTGAACATTCCATCCGCACTTTCATCTGCATTCTAGAAGAAATCAATAATAGAGGTAACTGTGCCATGTTCCAAGCTAAACCAAATATTTCTTTGGCCATTTGAGCCGGACCAAAGCGAAATTAAAAAAAAATAATTGGAAGCTTGAAATACATAAACGGAGATGATTTAAGAACGGAACAATATCAAACACAGTACTATAACTATCGGGCAAAACGATGTTGGAAAAAATAAAGGACAATTATTATCTTAGAAAGGACAAGGACAAAAATCTCAAATAAAGGATTGTCCTTTGAAATAAAGGACGGTTGACAACCCTAGTTGCATACATACCATACTACTGGTAGGCTTCCTGTTCGTAAAACTTCATTTTTACCATTGATACCTCAACAACTGTAGCCCTGCACCATACAATGTTCTACATACGACCACAGTCACCTCACAATGGTACCATTGTGACTTTACCTCAACGCAGCTATCGTCATGGCTACTCAGATTATTGGTGCACGGAGTCGTTTCTAGTTCTGTTGTTGTTGAAACGCGAGATTACTGGGCATACCTGGTTGGAATGCCTTGACGTATTTATATTTATTTTCAAATTAACGTATATATGATACTGTATATACACAGTTCGACTTTTTTGTTATTATTTTCTTGTTAGACTTGCTTATGGGTGCCGCTGCTCGATAACCAAATTTAGTTTCTCGCGGCTCCCCTCACCCTGAAATGCCTTTTAATTATTTATTGCAATTTGTATATTAAGTGTGCATTTAGTATGGTGAGAAAATAAACTACTGATTACTGTACATTATGTATATAGGTAATAAACATGGGAGGTATTGATGATGTTTACACCAAACCTGTCTAATTATTATAGCACCCATGTAATCCTATTAGGTGGCAACTGACTCTGATGGCAACTGACTCTGACCCCAAAAGGCCTTATCGTTTCCACCCAGTCATATACCTAACGCATGTGTTTATGTATTATTTATTTATACTGTACGTGTGTTTTCTTGGTTCGACAAATGTAATAAAATTTCTCTCTCTCTTGTCCTGATTGTCTGATAGTTGTTCTGCTTGCCGGACACTTTTCCTGTTTGCTACACACTTGTCCTGGCTTCAATTATATTTTGTTTATATTTTCTCGTTGACAAAACAAAGAAACCCTCCCCTCTCGGTGGTACATTGCCATCAGTAAACACTATCCGGTTGAAATCCGGATTTCGTATTTTGACGCAACATGTCGTACAAAAGTAGCGGCAAAACGAAATTTCAATTCTTGATGCATTCCACGAATTTATGATGCTGATTTGATACCTTTGTTGGATAAAAAGTAGTTACCGCTTACCAGTACCGTTATGCCGCCCAGGGATCGTAATAAATATAAAAGGAAAAGATATCATCGAAGAAAACGAAAACGGTAGGCTCAACCTAATTTTGTAATTGCAAAACTTAGAGATAGCCTAGAATTCAGGATTTAGACATCTTATCGGCTTTCGTCTTGATCTCTCGCGGGATAATTACGAAAATAGGTATTTATAGGTTGATCTTTTTGCACATAATCATCCCCACAGGATTCTGGGATTCGAACCTACAAACCAGAGCAGGGTAATCAGAAGTCTGAAGGTGCGGTGACGAGCGTACCGTAAAAGCGCCTAACTTCGGACAGTTCCTAACTTCGGACAAAATTTTTGAACGGTCATATCTTGGCTAAAACGCGCCGTATATTGCTAATTTTATTTATTATAGGTTGCGCTGTTATATCTACATCTATTCTCATCTTTTTTATTGTTGCATAATTATTTTTTTGGTAAAAAAAACGGAAATTTTGCCGAAAATTGACTGCCCGGCATTCAACGGCGCAGAGCGTCGCTCCTACTGCAGCTATCATCGTCAAAATACCATCATTCGGTAGAGGGCGACAACAATGTATATAATTTATTTGAGTGATCGCAAGATGTCGTACGAGATTTAAATAAAACCTAAAATTCTGAATTATAAATTCCGTAAGAATATTAGGATTTCACGCAGCGTCAAAAATTACGTCAACCTCACGTAGATTATTTTTCGCTCACTTCCGACACGACGTCACACTGCGTCGCGGAAATGAATTTTGACGCCAGACACAACGGAGCCAATATGACAATTTCTGTTTAGATAAAGACGGCGTTCCAATGTAATATTTTTGTATTTTGTTCGGTCATGTATGAATATATGCCAAAATTACATTAATGAAAATACATGTCACACTTAATCGATGACGTTAAAAATCGAATATATAAAACTATGATAATTCCAACGTCCATATGGCACAGTGCACTGACTTGACCATTATTTTATGATTAGTAGTCGAAATGACAGTTATTGAATACGGCCTGGGTGAATTTTATTCATTCTAAATTAAAAATAAATTCAATCTCCAACAAATAAACGGGACCTACATGTTTACAAGATTAAGTTGAATTTTGAATTAAACTTTACAATCGGATTTACCGTGTGTTTGATATAATTTATCATTTATAAAGATAACCGCGCAGAATAAAAAAAAGCTATCCGTCGAGAATATTAATACTTCAAAGACTTCGATAGAAGCCCGTTAAAATACTTCATTGTGGATTGAAACGGTTTGCATCAGATAGATTTACGTATGCATTTCCTGATTAAAATGACTAACGTGTTATTATACTCATCTGAAGTATCGAAAATAACGAACGAAAGATGTATACATAGGACGACGGAAGTTTCAAATAATGCATTTTCGCCGTGACGTCAATGTTACGTTACGACGACGATCGAGCGTCTTATCTTCACGCAACGACGTGATTACGTCATCCGCATCGGAAGCCTCTTTCTCTCTGTGCGTCGCGGTTACGCAGTGAAGAAAATGACTGTCCGAAGTTAGGGCAGTGAAGGATAACGGTCAGATGGCAAGAAATATTGATTATTATAATAGTAAAAATAGTCCAATTGAACCGAAATTTGCAGGGAATGTAAATTACCGCACGAATGTTTTACCGAGCAATTTTGGCACCGTTTGGACAATAAATGGCCGAGTTATTGACGAAAATATAGTAATTTTGTCCGAAGTTAGGCGCTTTTACGGTAGTATATGCAGGATACCGGTACCGGTAATTATTCTTCTCAATTTGATGACCAATGATGAGATTTTGAGTATCGTGTTCTTAACGAATAAGTTAACGTTAGCGCTGTGTACTGATTGTATGGACTTCAGTTCAGTATGAATAATAATGAAAGTTAATTAATCTGAATATAATTAGAAAACTGTTAATAATAATTCTAGATATTTAATACTTAATTGATATTTTTTGGCAGGCCGATGGATTTTGACAAATTTACCAATATTGATACAATTTCGTCACCACACGAGGGAGATCTGCACATCGCTAACGAAGTATCACTTGAACCTGTTGTGAAAAGGATTTTTCTATGGTTTTATAATGTAAGCTATATTATACTTTGACTTTCTAACCTTATTACTGAAGGACATTTCTCCGATTCCAGGACTGCCCTATGTATCTCTGAGTTGAAAGCCTTATGTCAGTACAGCACATTATCCAAATTCCAAGAATTTCCCTGCTTTTGGCTAAATAAAACAAACACTGTGTCTCACAAACGAGGGGTGTCTGGGACCACGTCAGATGCGTCATATCACACCATGCTTGTCTCAATAATAATCTAAGTTAATCGCGCCCGTCACATGATCAAAATTGCCGTTTTTTGCTAAAAAAATTTTTCCCAAGGAATTCAATGATAATGTTACTAGATTGCGCTTTTTTGTAGTATTTTGCGCAACTTTATTATACTGTATTATTACTGATATTGAGGGACAACAATGTCCAGACGTCTCCCAAAGGAGGGGTGTTTGATCATCTGGAAAATGGGTTTCTCTGAAACGGGACAATGTCACCCGATTTGTATAGTGTGCCGTACTGTATGTGTCTTTAAAACATGTGTATGACACTCAGTGGATGGCTCATCAAGCTAAGTGTTACTAAGAAATAAACTATCTATCTAAGCTTGCCGCACTTGGGTTTGCAAGTCAGAATCTCGCGTAGGATAATAATGTGCGAGAGGATTGTTGGACTCCTCGCCATTGTTGGGTTGATCAGTATCGTCTTCCACGACCATCAGGTCCATGCACTGGTTAGCTCTTATCATACCTAACATGAACTTTCCTCTCCTTGAGATAAATAGGAAAATCCTATCTTATCACCTTTCCTCTCCTTTTTTAAGATACGGAGTTTCTGATTTCATACATTTCAAACCACCGAACAAACTGAACCTGAGAAGCTGTGGTTTGGTATTATTAAACCATCTTATCCGCTTTCATCTACTCTGCGTAAATTCGAATATTTTCTTCTTTCAGAAACTTCCCAACATTTCAACACCTTTTTCCTATGCAAATGAGATTTTATTTTCAACTCGAGCTCTGCGTTATGATCTTAACTCAACCCGTGAACAACTGAATTCTACAAAACAAGAATTGAATGAAATCATGAAGAAACTGAATAACCTAGAAAATAACGTCAGAGAATTGAAGAATTTTTCAATGGGGGAAAAGAGAGGGGTTTCCCCTTTGCGTATTCCACCCCCTCCTCCCCCACCACCACCTCCTCCTCCGCCTATCTCAACATCTGCTTCAAAAGTGAGTTCCATTTTATCAGTTTGCAACGTTTAGAGTAGACATGGGCAAAGTACGATCATCTGTGGGCCAAATCCTGTCCGTTGGGTAATTTAATCTGGCCCACCTGATGCTGCCACAACCAAAATTGATGTTTTAGCTAAAAATAACTCAAGGAATTTGTTGAGATCGCGGTTAAATTTAGTTTTGGTACGAGACCTATAGTCTTCCACCTTTGCTTTGTAATACTGTAAATATTTTTCATAAAATGTAACTTTTTACGTCACACTTACATGGCCCGTCAGTGTGAATGGTCAAAATTGGTGGCCCCTGGTTCGAAACCCACCTCTGGTTTAGAGTGATGTTATCCAACCGGTGGGGTCTTCTTCCTTAGGGAGGAAGTACTTGTTGGGAAGAAATTTTGATTTGCATTTGCCTCAGTATTACGAATATTCTTTGGGTCTTTTTGATTCTACGATTCTTATTTATACACAAATTCTAAACTAATAAAACTACAGTAGTGGCAATGCGGATTGCCGTAATTAACTCTTGTAGTAATATAGAAAAAATACGAAAACAACATGAAGCGTTTACTTTCATCGCGAACACTCGGATCAATGGCTGTGTGATTAAAAATGATTTCATTTTGTGCAGAAATACTTCAGTCACAACATAAACCTATAAATAACATATTATTCCAAATTATGACCAAGTCTCACTGGTTTCAAAAAATTTTGGGTATCGGAGAAGGGTTAACCAGTTACTTGTTTCTCTTTCAGCCTTGTTTTCTCTTAAAGAAGAAACCTCCACAAGCTGCAATAAAGAAACCTGTTAAAAAGGAAACCCAGGTATTTTTATATATCTCAATCTTGTTTAATGTTTCGATCATGCTGATTTTTTGGAGCCTGAGGCAAGCTTATTTATTATATTAAATTGAACATGGGCCGGGGTCTCCAGAGCAGTGGTTCTCAAACTTTTTAAGATGTACCCGCTTTTAAATACTTGTCAAGTCTCGCACCCCACTTCAAAAATAACTAGCTAACAATAAGCTACAAATAACAGATAGTAGGCCGACAGCATGTTTTATTGAAAAAAAAAAGATTGAAAATACTTGGATGGAACGTAATTAATCAAAATGAAAAAATGTGAATATGCACAAGGCAGGTATGATCCAATGTAACAATTATTTTTAATCAGCTTCACGCCCCTCGAAAAAATGTCTACGTCTCCCACCGCTTGAGAACCACTACTCCAGAGTTCCATTATTTCACCTATTTGTGTTTTGGCATCAATTTCGTGCCCATATATTCGAGCATTGCTCCAATAATTTATTACTATGGAACACATTCGATTTTAACAATGCTGTAACGGTCGTGGATGTACAAAATGTTTTATTGGCACACGTACATATGGTTTATATCCACTAGGTTTTGCAAGAGACTTTCGACTTTGGGTTAGATAAAACCACGTGTTCTCACTTACATTCTTGCTGTATTTAGTCATGTTAGGTTAATTGCCCTGCCCTGTCACCACTACGAATGGCTTTGTCATAGGTCACTTACAGGTTGAAGAACAATGGAGTATACAATATACCCAAATGAGGAGCTACTTTTGAAATTTGCCACTGTTTCCTCCTTCTAGTTGCGCGATCATTTTTGGGCGCTCCCGTAGTATATGCAGTAAGATGGTGGACACTGGAACAACGTAATATGTGAACCAAGTCAGGGTTAAGCCTGAATTTTATTCTAATTTTCCTTATTTTAGTTCTATTACGAGTTCGGGGACTAGCCAAGTGACTCCCGTAGTATTTGTACCTGAAATTATGCCCTAACCCCAACCTGGTACACATACTACGTTCCGGTGTCCACCATCTTGGTGCACATACTTCTTGAGCTCCCAATTTTGTGAATGATCCCGCCAACAATCACTCATTTAACTTGTCTTTATTCTTCTCAATATTGTTCAGAAATCTCTCTGTGTTTCGTTGGACGATATTCTGAATGTTAAACTGAAGAAAACTCAGCCACAGAAAAATATTGATGAGAAAGAAAATAAGGTTCATTTAGAACTATTTTTGGAAAAAAGAGTATCTTTCATATTTAGCATTCCCCAGACCTGAGATGAGTAAACAACGGCACACGGGCCAAATCCGGCCTGTTGGGTAATTTATTCTGGCCCGCCTGATGCTGCCACTACCTGACCTTATTTTGATGTTTTAGCTAAAAAATAGCTGAATGAATTTGTTGAGATTGCGAATAAATTTAGTTTTGGCATGAGGCTTATTATTTTCCACTTTTGCTTTTCTAACACAACTGTAAATATTGTTCATAAAATGGAACTTACGTCACAGTTACATAGCCAGCCAGTCTAAGTGAGAAAAATTTTTGGCTTTTGGTCTGAAAACTTTCCCGCCCCTGCCCTATCCAGTTTACAACATCCTAATTCTGGTGTTGAAACTGGAGTCTGAGCCCAGGAATTTTGACTTCTAAAATTGTTTTAAAAAAGAAGCACCCTCCCCTTTAAAAATCAACTGTTTTTAACTGTCATCCTCTACCGAGATTCCTATTACTTGGGTCAACATGCTGCGCTGCAGATTAGCTGATATAAAGGCCGTGGTGCATATTTGAGTCCACCTTTGAAAATCCTGGCTGCACCTCCACAATACCCCTTCTCCCAAAAACCATCCCCTGTTTTAACGTCTATCCCCTGTCGTCCTCTATTTTCAGGTTCCTGTTAACAAGCCCAACATGCCTCGCATCACCTTAGCTGACATAACGTCTGTATCTCTGCAAAGATTGGGAAACATTGAACAAACATCTGGCAACTGTCAGAATGAAAATATGGTGACACCGAAGTCTGTTCTTTTGAAGAGGGTGAGCAGATTTTAATATTACTGGTCTTTCTCGGGGACAAATTTTGTGCCTTAGGAAAGGAATTTTATTTTGTTTCCAGGTGTTGTATTACCACTATGATGGGTACTCTCGTAATATGTGAACCAAAATGGCAGACATCGAAACATAGTATGTGTGCCAGGTTAGGGTTAGGCCATAATCTCAAGTACAAATGCTACGTTAGTAACTTGGCTAGTCCCCAAACTTGTAATAGAACTAAAATAAGAAACATTGGATTTCGTCCTGGTAGACGAACTACGTTTCGATGCCTGACATCTTTGTTCGCACACTGCAGGAGTACCCTGTAATGCACTAGCCACGTCCTGCTCTATTGAAAAGGGGGGGGGGTAATTTTACCACTTGTCCTCCCTAAGAAGTAGATCTCGTGTTTTGAAGGAGTAATTTTACTGTATATCTGTCAGTAGTATTATTATTGTAATGGGTACTTCTGCACACATTCTGTTCTATTGAAAAGGGTATAGTGAGGAATGTCCAAGGGATCAAACTCCTAATATTGGCTCAGATACCTAAAAATAGTGATAGTAATTTTGTTTTTAATGCAGACGCTTCGAAAGACGACAATGAAACGTAGCCCGGGTGGAACTCCTATCATCCGACGCAATCCAGATCGGTCCACGGCTACAGGGCCTACACCTGAGTTTGCAAGGGCTTTACGGAGGAAATTTAGGGTAATTTTTTATTATACGGCTTATTCAGGAGGGGTTCACCAGATACCAAGTTGCCTATTTTCTAGGCTTACAAAATGACCCACACATAGTTTATTTGGTAAAATTATACTTGCACGCCCATAATTTGTCGTTTTCCTCCGAAACTAAAAAATTACGATCTAAAAATAAACTGCGAAAGTATCTCGCTGTTTTTGAAAAAGAGTGCACTAGTAGTGAACACTGGTGCCAATGTTCTAAAATAAAGTAACAGGTGCGCCAATTGAGTAGCCCCACTCTTAGACATCATAATGCACTCTACTTCTTGCTAACCAAAAATTATTTCATTTCAGTCCATAAGAACTTCACCATTAGCTGAGGATCATCTCATGCAAAGTCCAATATGAAGCATCTGTAGCCAGAAGCATAGAAGAGTATAAAATTCTAGTCCATGTCAGTAACTGCTAGCATAGAGCCTAATTACTTTCAAAAGTATCCGGTATGTTTTGGGCCTTTGCATTATTATTTGGTTGAAGATATATAAAAATGAATGTAACTATCTTGTTCAAAGCATTTTTCAGAGCATCTTTAATCAAATACCATTTGGTTGCCTTTGCCTGAAGCATCAAATATTAGTTCCGAGTTAGTGGCAACTTACTTGCATTGTGCCTTGTTTGTAACGTAACTGTAAAATTATTGATCGTTTCGAATATTTTCATCTCGGAACATGACAGATTAACTTTTTTGAAGTTTATTCATTACTTTGTATATAAATTTGTAAATGCTTGAATTCTAATCCAGCCTTGTTCTAAAAAAATTGTTTAAAAAGTATCGGATTCATTTTAAACATTTTCATCTTGAAACATGACATGACAGTTTGATCATCAATTTATTAGATCTGTATATGAACTATTATTTTATCAGACAAATTTTGGTGCCTCTGCTCAAACCACCAGATAAATTTTTTCTAGTAACCGGCATTAGCTGTAGCACAGGGGCATAGCATCCTCCTTCCGAGCAAAATTGTTTTAAATACCTTTGTTTCATTGGGCCTCCTGAAGTATGCGCACCAAGATGGCGTACAACCTGAACTCGGGTTGTGTTCCAGGTTAGGGTTCAGGTTATGCGACATCTTGGTGCACATACTTCAGGAGTTTCGTTTCGTCATCTTGTATCTCATGTATGGATAAATAATTTTTGAATTAAAATATTATTTTAATAGACACCCATTGCTATGAAATTTTAGACTCGACTTTTTTTTTCTCCCTACTCTAAGCACCAAATATCAATTTTCTAGTTCATTGACTGCTTGAATTGTGCCATGTTCAGAGTTTATCATCCTGAACCATGACTTCAAAAATTATTTCTAAATATTGAGTATTTTAACAGTAACCTTTGCTTCAAAATATTAGATAGTTTTTTTTGCAATATTTTCTTATTTATTAACTTTTGTATATCCAGCCTTTAATATTATAATCAGTATGATATGTCAATTTAAGAGTGGCCATATTTTTTTTTTCAAATTTGATGTACAATAGGATTTTTTTCATATTTATTCCACAAGAAAAAAAAAGTAGCGAACCACAGCCTGTTATGTGGTTACCAGTCCATGTTTGGTATGCGATTAGTTAGCCAGCTATTCACTTCAAATGCATGGATTGTCGCGGTCTCGGGGAAGCCGTAACTGATCAGCGGATACGTAAACCACCCAAAAATCGCCTTGCACATCATAATAACTCCCTACAGAATTCGAATCAGCGCTGGGTAGTCAGAGGTGTGATGGCATGTGTATTCATAACTCCCAGCACGATGTGCAAACAACTGTTTTTGCACTTGACCTGATTTAGTGAATGCACGAGAAGCCATGGTTTGTAACAGTGGTGTAGCTAGGGGGGTGGTTTTGCGAGTCGAAACTCCCCCCCCCCTCTTTTGAAATGTAAAAAAATATAAAATCATTTTTCTGTATCATAGATAGCAATTTTCTGTAGCTTGAAATGCTTTTTAGACCCCAAGACTACTAGAAACACGCGTATTCCAGCGTTTGATCGGACTCGCTAGCTGTTTCGATCTAGCTTGGCAAAAAATAAAATTCAGAACCCCCCCCCCCTTGAAAATTTCTGGCTACGCCACTGGGTCGTTATATCTAACCAAAAGTTGACTTTCCTCTCCCTATTGTTTTATTTTGTATATTTTAATCATAATCGCTCTCTGCATTCTATTTGCCAATGTTGTTTTACTATCAGTTGAAGTTGCGTGAAACTAACTACCTTTCCTTGCTCTCTATGCCTTTGCGCAGGTGGATCCGTATGCGTATTACGCAAGGATGCTGTAGCAAGAGTGTAAATGGCTATTCTATTTAATTCAAAAGTCTTGCTGCACACGAACACAAATATATTTCTGTAACGTTTCGTCTGACCGAGGTCAGACTTCTTCAGACAATCATTTTACAACTATCAATAATAGTTGTGATAGTGATAGTTGTAAAATGCTTGTCTGAAGAAGTCTGACCTCGGTCAGACGAAACGTTACAGAAATATATTTGTGTTCGTGTGCAGCAAGACTTTTGAATTAAATAGTTGTTTTACTAATTAGCATATTTGCTACATGTGTTTTATGTGATAACTATTTCTTTATCTAACTTACTAACAGTCATTATACGCAGTTTCATGAACTTCTTTCCATTTTGAATGTGAAAAAATTCTGGGTGAGATTTTGCAAAGCGTGAGGGACACTCTTCCCAGTGCACTGCTGGTGTTTTTTTCTACATTTATTCCGACAGTTATTAAGATGGAGAGAGAGTTTTATTGTTCGTCAACCAGAAAACAAGAATTGCTACAAAAAAATATATACAAAATTATTCGATGCGACCATATGGTCATCGGAGTAAGCCCCCCATAGTCACCACTCAGTAGTATGCATAAGATTAGGATTTACATACAAGGCCCCTCGTCCGGTTACCATTTCATGGCGGGTATGGGATTAGTTAACCAGTTATTTGTTTTCGGGGACATGTACTTCATGGTAGAGGAACCCTGAACTGATTGCGTGAAAACCACCGAACGGCGGCGAGGAGGTCAGCAATCATTTCGATTGAGCTATCGTCGCATGAAAGTCGAACCCACGCTGGGTAATCAGGAGTGGATAGGATAGGATTTACATATTTATCACGGCCTCTCGTCCGGTTACCAGTACAGGTCGGGTATGGGATTAGTTAGCCTTTTATTGGACACGTTTAGTGGCCATAACGATCTCCATTTTTATAAAATCACTTTTTTCTTCGAATACTGGACCAATTGCTTTGATATTTTCAGTGGTTAAAGATAAAATTTTTCTCCAGAAGGCTATTACTTTTTTTCGCTAGGACGTCATCAAAATTATTGCCACTGGGTGGCGCTACGTGTCCATATATTTGAGCATAGCTCTCTTGTTTGTTTTCGGAAGCATGGACTTGCGGCGAGCGTACAACTAATGGCTACCACGATGCCCCATTCACGTTGATGTATGTAAAAAAAAATATGATACTTGTCGTGTATAGTTGACTAAATAGAGCATTGGATTGAAAAGCTGACAAGGAAATATTATATTGGAAGCCTCTCTCGTTTAGCTAGCCGTTTCCAAAGAAAGGGTTCACAACATGATAGTCTTTGCCGCTGGGATTGTTTCAATATTATTTTATTGATTAGCATATTTGCTTCAGTGTTTTCTGACATAAACAACATAAAAAATAAACAAACAAAATGCTGATATACCTGGTAGGCGAGCATAACTTAAAATAAAGTTTAAAAAAACGTACAAGCACCCTCCAAAAAATAAAACAAGCACACAAATGAGTAAACTCGATTCAGAATAGGACAATACTTATTACGCAATCTTAAAATAACAGCAAAATTTAGGTAGATTCTTGACTGAGATATATATATATATATGGTACTCTGTGCTGGTAAGGAAACCGTACCAGTACCTGTACAAGCGTAGGCGGTAACATAGGTTACCTCTGCCGTGTTGAAAGACAGTAACGTAGATTCCAAACTCCAACATTTCAATTTTTCTTGAATTACATATTTAAACCTCGGGTTTCGCTGCTCGATAACCTGCTTGGGTTCCCCGCGACTTCTCTTTTCCAGTAAAACTGTCTAATCATCACTTTCTCGTAATTTGTGTTTGATTGTTGTTGATTTTACAAGTCGGAAAACTAAACTTGACTTGATAATAATGCGGTAGATAAACTTCTAACAACCTCTTTCGTCTTTGATTGATGAAAATTCAACGATCACGGTGTATTTTTGAGTTTAACATGTGTAATATAATAAGAGATTCATAGTTTTGTTGATAAGAAAACAGCCGAAGGAAGAACAAGTGAAATACATTAACCCAGGGTTTCCTAAACTGCGGTTCGTGATGACTGCACAGAAGGTCGAAAACTATATTATAAGTCTGAAAAATATACTTTCCAGCTTATATCCACTGTCTCGTAAACGAGATAAAGTCGTAAGTTCATGCAATCTGGATCATAATTGTTGTTACGAAACCTTGACAAATGGAGTGAAAAATTGATCGTAAAACGATGCTTGTTTTTAGTGTCTGTGAGGTCGAAAACTTGCGCGACCAAGGTCATTTGAGCCAATTAGCGTTGCTGCATGGAAGAGGCAAAAAACAAAGTTAAGTTAATTGCGATACAATTTATATACATAATTAAATTAGTCCCATGTGTTTGATTCGTACCGGCAATAGTACTAATCGACGTATGTCGCTGCTCGATAACCATTTTTGGTTCCCGCGACTTCCCTTTATTTTTTACTGGTTAGAAAAAAATAAACTTGATTGATTGATTGAGTGAGAACACGATTTTAAGACTTGTCGTCGGACTTGCGAATTTGTGTGCTTCGAGAAATGTGCAGTGAAAGGCAAACTCATCCATCATATTAATGTCGTTTGTGTTGTAAATGAAAAAAATCCTAACCATCATCCTGTGCACTTTTACCGTAATCATAAGTTGCATCGGTTTTGGAGGGAAATGGGCCTATAGATTGTTTATTATCATGTTGTTGTTGATCATTTTATTATCAGAAAAAGAGAGAGAAAAGTATTTTTCTTCTCCTTGTTCCCATAGGAACAAATCGCCGATGTGACTGACTGCATACCCGTACTACTTAGTGTCCATATATTTGAGCATCGCTCAACCGCGCACCGGCTATAAGAAACAACAGTCTTTAAGAAGCATTGTGTTATCGTACAAAGCTGATTAAACAAAAAATACGGTTATTGTATTTTATTTATAGTAAAGGAACGCAAATCTAGCATCATTATTTTCGATTACCCACTTTCATATGACTTTGCCTCGGGCAACAAAAAATCTCACACGCCCTCTCAAGTGTTGGATCTCGGACCCTCATACTAAACGAAATCAGGAGAGCAGGTGTGTTCATGCTTGAATGGAAAGCGAAAAAAGTGGGTTACTATGCAATCATCGGCTACAAAACACACATGATAATAAATGAGGTAAATCCTAAGGTAAGGTGGTTCTCGTAGCCGCTTGTCGATTTCGGCTTTCTCCACCATTGGGTCCATGCATCTGAAACATATAGCTTATTGGACACGTAGTGGGCATAGTGATCGTTTTGTTGTTATGTTGTTCTTGTTATTTGACACGTTTTTAAAAAATCGCTTTTCTCTTCGAATACTTGACCAATTGCTTTGAAATTTTCAGTGGTTGAAGATAAAAATTTTTTCTTGAAGGCTATTACATTTTTTTCGCTTTGACGTCATCAAAATTATTCCCACTGGGTGGCGCTACGTGTCCATATATTTTAGCATATCTCTCTTGTTAACTAATCCCGTACCCGACATGAACTGATAACAGGACGAAAGGCCGTGGTTCGCCGTGAGCTTGAGGCGCCTTATCGATTTTTTCTTACCGAGATAATTATGAAAATCCTATTAATGCTAATCCGGACAATGGCAAAATAACGCTATGACGTCATCAGTTACGGTACCGGGAAATTCTGAAGGTGTGGGGTTTCGTGTTTGCCTGCTATCATGAGTTTCTGTTCATCGGCCTGATTTTAGATTTGTGTAAAATGGGAAATATGATTACTGGATTATAAGATATGTGCAGATGACTGAGAACTCTTGAGCATATTTTTATATTTAGACAACTGTATAACAAAATTTTATCATTTTAAGTTGAGGTTGAGCCAAAATTCTGGGATGGTTGATTACGGCTTTAGAGTACTGCAGTACCTAATCACTGAATCAGTAATTTATTTTTTCACATATCGAATATACAGAAGTATACAAACATATACAAAGGTAACATATAAAATAATGTATTTCAGCATGAAGGGAGACGCGATAAATCAGTCATGGTTATCGAGCAAGAAGAGTAAGAAAGATTTATTGCCACAAAACGCCACCTTTGAGGAAGTGTAACATAGAATCATAAAAAACTGCGCCACCTTTGAGGGAGTCTAACATAGAATCATGAAAAACGGAAGAAAGAAGCCGAACGATATTTAATAACAAAAATTGGCCATTTAGGTGCGTTACGTTCAAGCGACCTGGTGTTTCGATTACAATACAATTTTATTTCGATCTTTCGTCTACAACAGAGAACACAACTAAAAAAACACAGACAATGGCGACAGGAAAATGGGAAAAACTTATATACAGTACAGCACACTATCCAAATTCCAAGAATTTCCCTCCCATTTGGCTCAATAAATCAAACACTCTATGTGTCTCACAAATGAGGGGCGTCTGGACCACGTCAGATGCTTCATATCGCGCCATGCTTGTTTCAATGATAATCTTAATATATCGCGGACGTCACATGACCAAAGTTGCCGTTTTTTGCTAAAAACTCTCGAATGCTACGGTAAATTTTTTTTTTCTTTGGTAAATCGGAGGGACAACAATGTCCAGACTTCCACCAAAGGAGGGGTGTCTGATCATCTGTAAAATGGGTTTCTCTGAAACGGGACAATGTCACTCGATTTGTATAGTGTGCCGTACTGATATACAGGTTTATAACGATCGCTGTACCTAAACCAGTGTTTGTGCCCATTTACTCACACTCATCAAACAAGTGAAAATACATCACGGCAATCATACTAGGATAAATTCATGAACGTGCATGAACACGAGAAAATAAAATTCATGAGCAAAGCTTGCTTGGAAAGTTATAAAAAATTTGAATGAGTGAAATTCATGAAGAATTGAAGAAACAATTGAAAATTATATTACCGTGCCTGTGTAGAAATATGAATACCAATAGAGAGAGAGAGAGTAATAGGGATATACACATAATATTTACCGGTAACAAATTGCTGAAGTGAAGTTTAATTGGTTAGCTGCTTCTTTTTATAAACAAACAAAGCTAAAAAGCAAACATAAAAACTAGTTTCGGGCGTTGCTTCTTATGTAACAAAATTAGTTTGAAATCAGGAAAATCCAAATTTGTAATTCTGAGCATTTGCCAATGTGGTCTTGTGTAGTTTCGTACCTAACGTTATGTCAATCCTAACCCCCATGTCATAGAGCTTGCTAAATATACGTACAATCGCCCGAAATGGCATTGGCGCGGACGATAAAAAACTGACTGACATTATCTATCTCTCTCCTATTTTAATCGTTGCGACGAGAAAACGAGAGAAATAACAGAAATAACTCAAATAGTTTGAAGGGCTCTGTGACGTCGTGTTGACTTCATTTTTGGATGGTGTAGTAAGGTGGGGGTTAGGATTGATACGTGAAAAAATTGTCATGCTACGCCCACTAGAATATATGTTAGGTACGAAACTACATGAGACCCTTGCCAATGATGGTCAGAAAATTAACTCAGTTCTGACACCAATTATTGACCTAAAATTAGGTCACCTAATTAGAATGGATAAAAAGAGAATTTTGTCCACCAAAATACAAATAAATATTAAGATAATAAATTCAAAAATTAGACAGCACTCTTTTTGTATTGACTCGGAGATGAAGATACGGGTCTAGTATAGTTTAGTACCACAAGTATTTCCGGTGGGCGTAGCATAACGAATTTTGTATATGCTATTCCTAACCCCCACCTGACTATGCCATCCAAAAAATCACGTCACTACGACGTCACCATCACGTCATAGGGATTGCCAAAATATAATTATGATCGCCCGAAATGACATCTGCGATGACATCTGCTATCGGCGATAATGAACTTGCTAAAGCCGGCGATCTCTCTCCTATAGTGATCGTTGTGACGAGAAAGATTGCTTGCTCGATTTCGGGTGATCGTCTGTGCGTTTTGGACGAGCATCAGCATACTTCGGTGGGCCTTATTACGCCACTGTGACGTCGAAATGACGTAATTTTTCGGTGACGTAGTCAGGTGGGGGATTAGGATTGACATATGCAAAAATTGTTGAGCCAGGTCAACTAGAAGTACATGTGGTACTAAACTATACCAGACTCGAAGATACAACGGAAAGTCATTGAAGTAATCCATCCCCATATCACAGCTGCTTTATTATTCATTTAATGAATCTGTAAACTCCCTGAATGCTATGATACAAGCAGTTGGCCACAGTTTGTAATCAAACTGTCAAATGCAAAGTTGGGTATATTTATATATGGGTATGGACAAGAAGCTAATAAGCTATGAATTTCCACATAGTTTAGCCCTGTTATTGGTTTTCCTCTCCCCCTGGATAAATATGGAAATTTTATCCGTAACAGACACCTGTTTTTTTACTTCATGTGTTTTAGATCTTACAATTAGGTTAAACATTTATTTGTATCACAATGTTTGCAAATGTAACGACACATACACCTATCAGGCTGAGAGATTTGATTCGCAATATTCGAGCTTGTAAAACTGCTGCAGAGGAGCGTGCTGTTATCAATAAAGAATGTGCAGACATCCGTAACGGATTCCGCGACACTGATACCACGTTTCGTTGCCGTAATGTAGCAAAATTATTATATATTTACATGCTCGGATTTCCTGCTCATTTTGGCCAGTTGGAAACGATGAAATTACTCCCTAGTTCACGATTTACTGATAAAAGAATTGGATATCTTGGTGTAATGTTGCTTTTGGATGAAAATCGAGAAGTCCAGCTTCTTATGACGAATTCATTGAAGAATGATCTTGACCATTCAAGTCAGTACGTTGTCAGTTTAGCTCTCTGCGCTCTTGGAAGTGTCGGATCAGCAGAGATGGCTCGAGATCTTGCACCTGATGTTGAAAAGTTAATGAGAAATTCTAACGGATATATCAAGAAGAAAGCTGTTCTTTGTGCATGTAGAATCGTTCGAAAAGTACCAGAATTGATGGAAAATTTTATCCCGTTGACGAAGTCGTGTTTGAACGATAAAAACCATGGAGTTGCCTTGGCAACTGTGTCCCTGATCACAGAAATGTGTAGAGCGAGTCCAGCAGTTTTGAAAAGTTTGAAAAAGCTGTGCCCGACTCTCGTGCGGATTTTGAAGAATTTAATCATGTCTGGATACTCACCGGAGCATGATGTTTCTGGAATCAGTGACCCATTTTTGCAAGTTCGTATTTTACGATTGTTAAGAATCCTTGGATCACACGACGGCGAAGCTAGCGAGATTATGAACGATATATTGGCTCAAGTTGCGACGAATACTGAAACTAGTAAAAATGTTGGGAATGCAATTTTATATGAAACGGTCCTCACAATCATGGATATCAAATCTGAAAGTGGACTGAGAGTTCTTGCCGTCAACATTCTGGGCCGATTTCTTCTCAACAATGATAAAAATATCCGTTATGTAGCGTTGAATTCTCTTCTGAGGACAGTCCACACGGATATGAACGCTGTGCAGCGTCATCGCACCACTGTTCTTGATTGTTTAAAAGATCCGGACCCTTCGATTTTGCGTCGTGCAATGGAGTTGTGCTTTGCTCTTGTGAATAGCCATAATGTTAGAGGAACTGTTAGAGAGTTACTTGCGTTTTTGACCCGCTGTCCTCCAGATTTCAAGTCAGACTGTGCATCAGGAATCTTTCTAGCAGCGGAAAAATTCGCTCCTAACCGTCGCTGGCATATTGATACGATGTTGAAAGTTCTCACGACCGCTGGTAATTATGTTAGAGACGACACCGTTCCAAGTTTGATACATCTGCTATCTGATAGTGATAAATTACATTCCTACGCCGTTAATTCTCTCCTAAATGCAGCAAAAATGCCTGAAAATATTGACCAGCAGCCTTTAGTTCAAGTTTTATCCTGGTGTCTTGGAGAATATGGAGACGAGTTAGCTGAAGGGCATCATGATTCTGGAGATGTAATTGAGCCAGTTTCTGGCGACCAGATTTTAGATTTTCTTGATGACACTATTGAAAGTTCATTATCGAATCCCGTAACGAAAGCATATGCTATTAATGCAATAATGAAGCTCAGTGCACGAATACCAGGCATAGAATCTAGAGTTCGTCAAATTATTGAGCGCTTTGGAGTTTCACACAGCACCGAGGTGCAGCAGAGAGCTGTGGAATATTGTGCACTGTTGGATAAGCATCATAATCTATGTGCTGGTGTTTTAGAATCGATGCCAAAATTTGAAAAGCCGCCGGCGGAATCGATCGAAAGAGAATCTGAAACAAATTATGGGGAGGAATTGGAAGACGGAGAAACTGAACAAAATGTGGCAACAGTGAAAGAAGCAGCAGCACCACAAAGCAATATTGATTTATTGTTAGATTTAGTCGATTTGAATAATTCCGCAGCATCGGACACACCCATTGTCCCGCCCATGGGTGGGGCCCCTATACAACCAATACTTCCGATGAGTAATTCTCTTAATCTCCTCGATGACATCATGGGGTCTCCCCCACCCGCTATGCCAAATACGAACGGGATTATGGGTTCAGCCCCACCGCCAGCAATTAACGGGTTAGCAGGGCTGATGCTTGGTAACCCGGCCCCTGTTGCCACAAATTTCATTCCAGAAATGACAGCGTTTGAAAAAGGAGGTTTGAAAGTTATTTTTTACTTCGATAGGAAACCAGGAGACTCGGTGCTTTCCATCAATGTCAAAACAAGTAACCTGACCCCATCTGAAATTTCGGATTATGTATTCCAAGCAGCGTTACCGAAGCAGCTACAACTCCAGATGTTGTCGCCATCAGGAAACGTGGTTCCACCAAACAGTGGTGGCACTATAGAACAGCCAATCAAAATTAACAACCCAGGAAAAGTGCCGTTAAGAATGAGGCTACGAATCTCATATACGATCAACGGACAACCTGTTACTGAAATGGGGGAAGTGAATAATTTTCCTGCCGCTTCATGGCAGTAGAGAGTTTCAAGTGGGCTCATTGCCCCCCTCAAAAGTGTATTATCACAAACTAAAACTGTCCCGAAAATGGGCTTTGTTCAAACTTGAAACTATCAAGATCATATATTTATATAGTTATATTTGAATTTAGACCAATTATGATGTAATAATAATATGTTCCCGCACCAACAAATTTTGTCAATCAGGCCTTGGCATATGGGGTAGTTAATAATCCTGGGTTTGCATTTTCTTCTTATTGTACTCGGAATGGTATATTATGGAATTATATTCAATATTTAAAATTCTTGGTTTTCTGATATATTATAGGGTCCTTGAAGTCTCAAAATTTTTTTAAACTGCCAAGGGAATTATCGATACCATATTGTTTTGGCCCTCACAGATGTATTAAATGAGGTAAAAATGATTGAAAAACAACAATCCTGGTTAAGATATATTGAGAACTGACTTCATATCAAAATTGAAATGTACTAAAGGGACACCTGTATAATATGTCGGTACTTCCATAGTATGTGTACCAGGTTATGGTTAGGGCATAATTTTATTTTGATTTTCCTTATTTAAGTTCCTTTACGAGTTCGGGGACTGTTTGTGTTAGCCAAGTGGATATACCCCCTGCTCATATGTTTCAGCCCCTTCACACAACTTGTGGTAAAGTAGGCGAACAAAATTAGTTACCTCCATATTGGTACACAAACTTCTGAAGCGCCTGTAAGTCTTCGGTTGGAAACCGAAGACTTATCGATCGATAGTTAGGGGATCCCCCAAAACAGAAACTGCAGTTTCGATTCATCCGCTCTTGTAACTTGTGCACTGCGCATCGCACACACACACTCGGCGGGTCTCAAAATTCTCTCGCTTTACAAAAATCTAGATCACTATATCAATAATTGATTGATATTTGCTAATTATACGACATATTTCACACAAAATCAATAGGCTTCTGGTCCGAGATAAGATGAATGCACATGCAAAATTTGGAACAGATTCAACCTCGCATTCGCGAGATATCGCGTTCATCTAACAGACACACATACATACATACAGACAAATACCTATCAATATACTTACCGATCTTAAGATCGATAAGTAATAATAATCTCATTGTATGTACTTCTAACTGTTCTTTGCTGAATTTAATTTAGAATGTATTCCATTTTTAGAAATATAAATTTACATTGTATTTGGAGTGAAAGATTATTCAGTTTAGGCCATCTATTTTTTAAGACTTCTATCTGTTTTCAAAATGAAGCCCAGTCAAACAAATTACTCCAACTAATTACTAATTGTATATTTTTATTCAAGTATGTCAAATTTCTCGCCCTTCCGCCCCTACACCCCCCAAAAAAAAAATTAAGATGTTCCATTATCACCAACTATGCTTTAATTAAAATCATTTTCAACGGTGCATTACATTTTCTTTAGTTGACTGTATGTCTATCTAACCCTTTTTGTATATTTTTTTTGTTCTTCCATTATGCCCTTTCAACGTTACATATCTTTGACAGAAAATCAGAATGTTAAAATTTCGAAAAAATAATTCAGTTACAATTGCTAGAAATATGTTAAAAAGAAATCACTCAAAAAAAGCTATTGTTTGTTTCATTTATTTTTTCATTTTGTGATCGCCGTTTTGTTGTTATATTAATTCTCATTGTGAACCACCCGATTAAGTTTCTAAGCTAGCACTATAGCATGCTATCTACTACTGCATTTTTCAGGTCTGGTGTAGTAACCACGTATAGGCTTCTTCTAGGCTCAACAATATTTGCATACGCCATTTGTAACCTCTACCTGACTATGTCATCTAAAAATGATGTTACTAAGATGTCACAATGACGTAAAAGGGCCCTCCCAAAGTATACCGATGATCGTCCAAAGCGTGCAAATGATCACCCGAAATTGAGCAAGCTATTTCTCTAGTTTTCACTCAACATTACCGGGCTTTTGCCAATTAATTAATGCTGTAGTAACAACTCTTAGTCTAATTTTGAGCCTTCTTTAATATATAGACCTGTTATTTTAGAAGAGTATGCCTTTGCCTCAAGATATTTTGAAAGTGCATAACAGTGCAGTTTGAATATCCCTATTGAAGTCTGATTGTCGCGTTTAGTAAGGTTTAATTACTGCAAACACTACAAAAATAAAATATTTATTTTCTGGCTTCCATTTCTAATTTTTGTAATACTCGAAATCTGAACTCAAAACATAGGGTTACCAATATCGCAGCCAGCCACAAAGTAAATGTCTAGAAAATCACTGAAGCAGAACTGGTAGCATTAATACCTTCTATTCGATATGTAATTATTCCGCCAATTGGCTTTCAACTCAACTTTGCTTTATAATTTAGTATGGGTTGGTTTCAAATACAAAATGAATTGTTAGAGAAATATCAAAGTGAAACTGGCAGCATCCTCACCCTCTGTTTGATATGTGATTATTCCGCCAATTTGCTTTCAACCAGATTTCACCGAAGCAGAACTGGCAGCATTTACACCTTCTGTTTGATATGTAAATATTCTGCCAATTTGCTTTCAACTCAACCTTGCTTTGTATATATGAAGTTAGGCTATTATATTTTCTATGTTATAATTTCCTCATATCTGGTATTGATTTATTATGTTGAATTATCAAATTCACAATTTTTTCCACTTTTGCAGAACATAACAGATTTTTGGGTCAGGGGTTGTAAAAATCATTCGTTTCAAGCTGAGGCTGTCTGAAATTTTTGAATTTAAGAATAATTCAGAATATTTTAATTATAAAACTATCATTTTGAGCAATTGAAGTTTAGCTATCTGACACAAAAGCTTACCTACACTGAAAACTGAAAAAAAAAGGAAACTGATAAAATCATTGTTTACTTTTTCTGCATTTTAAAATTCAACTCGTAAAATATAATCGATTTCTGTGTGCCATTATTGAGCATAAGATACCACATATTCCATATTAAAAAAAAATATTATTTTAGAATTCTGTTAGAATCGAGGAACATTTAGTTTTGGCCCTCTGCATTTAATTTATCTGTTTTATTCTGCAAATGCTGTTTGATTCTGCTTATATTTTTTGCTCAAATTATTGATTGTTGGTCATTGCTGAAAAGAGCAAAAGAGACATAGCCCATGCGACAGAAGGTGAACTGACCATACAAACAGCGACTATATTATACGTATACAGGGTGTCTAAAAAATTTCGCCCGATTCTATAGTAATAAAAATCATAAGTTTAAATAAATTGATTGTATGATAAATGAGAAATACCAGTACAGGCACAATAATAACTATTATTAGACAAATACAAAGAAATTTTAAATTGTTTTCACTATAAAATCGGGCTATATTTTTTGGAGACCATGTATTTAAAGTGTGACTTTTACAGATTAGTATCCCCTTGGCCTGGTACTAGGTTTGTAAATCCGGATTAACGCCAAGAATTTTTCAATGAGTGGTGGGGGAATGGGTTCTGAATCTACACTCCTGTCTTATATACACCCTAATAGTCAAGCAAGACTTTCAAGCCTATTTATAAACCTAGTTGTCAAAGCATCATTTGCCGAGCACCATTTAACTGTTTTCGCTCATGCTATGTCTCATTTTGCTCTTTCTTGTGATTAACAACTCTATTATTATTATTACTGTATTAATAATGATATTATTATATTGTAGTTATTCGTCAAATAATGTAACTTAAACACCATCTAGTGTACAAAGTTGTGACGGATTTATTTTCAAATTCCCGGTCGGATTTATCATTACGAAAATGGACTGGGAAAGGCCAAACGTTATTCATCCTGTCGGAAAACCTGTGGAAACAAAGTCAGAGGTGAGTTTTCAACCATTCTGAAACATTATACAAGCTCGAGGAATCTTTATTAATTGTCTTTTTTTTGTTTGAACTGTACAAACTATAAATAATTATAAAAGCAAACCTAATAATGGTGAAACAAAATGATTTTTGAAATGTAGCAAGTTTAATGATATTGGCAAACTTAGGTATTTGATTATATTTAAATAAACATCATACATATAATATTATTTAAATGGTGAATTGCTGAACTTGTGGACTGTACCGGCTGAACTCCAGTTCAAAACTACTGGAGGAGGATTATCATATTTACCTACCGGGGAGGAAGGGTGGTTGTCACGATAATGTAGGGAGCCTGAGTAAATTTAAGTTTTTCCGACTTTATAGCCTTGCCAAGGAGGCTATCATTTTAGTTTCGCTATTGTTGCTGATGTCCATTGCTGATCGATTTCCAATAAGAATAATATAATCTCTTTCCACGAAATGGCAAGTGTATCGGTGAGATTTTGTTTGAACCTTTTTGGACAAAACAAGTAGGCCTATAACTCAAGTTAATTAAATATAAGTTATAAAGCTTACAAATATTACTTTAAAATATAGGGGGACCTGGCTCAGGCGTACTTTAATAAGCAATGCATAGAAAAATTCAAAATATGTTCTTTCGCTTCACAGGTTTCTGTTCCTTCTACTGAAGGTATGCCTCCATTATCTGACATCACAAAACATAAAGGAAAGAGGAGAAATAGAACCGGTAAGAATATAAGTATGCTTCAAAAGCTGTATAGCGTGACAGGCAGCATTGGCAAATGTTGATTTGGTTATGCTTGTTCTGCCTGACACACTTCATTTCTTCACTATCATTTTGCTTATATCGCCGTTTTTTTGTCAGTCTGGCATGATATGTAATCCATGAACACCTTTATGTAGGTGTACTCCCTAAATCACAAATTTCCTTTGACTTGTGTATGTCTTGTACCACAAAGACGATGATACTTCTTTGTACTTGCACAGAACTGTGAATCCAGTAGGGAAAAACGAGTTATTATATTTGCTCATACTTATTGATAATTCGACAAAAGGCCTTCCGGAAGGTCTTTTGGCCTTCCGGAAGGCCCTTTTAATCAAATAGTTTTGAAACCTGATTTCGTGTAGTTTGATTTTGAATTTTCTTTAGCTTATAGTATTAATTGATTGCCAGTTACTCATGAACACAATCATGGGTTACAATTTCTATAAAACATTTTAGTTTTTTATCACTGACCTATTTACTTTTGATAAAAATTTCAATTTTTTGAAAAATTTGAAAAAAATCAATTTTTTAAAATCCTCATTTCTCAGATAAAAAAACCTTTGTGATCTAATTTTTTCATGTTTATGAGTTTCTTGTATCATGTTGTTGCACTGAAAAACTAAATTTGCTAACAGAAAAAAGCGCAAATACAATTTTTTTTGTAAATTATAAATTTTTCATCATAAATTTTAAACGATCAGTTTTATAAGAGGGATTATTGTTTAACTATATTCAGTTAGGTACATTTTTTTCTCTAAAAACCCAGAACACAAATACCTAATACCAAAAAAAACTTCGAAAATTAATACTAACACAAACAACATGATGGATGGGAGACCCTTTCAAAAATTTTCTTGAAAAGGGCCTTCCGGAAGGCCCTAAGACCCGGTATCTGGAAACCTAAAAAACTTCTATTTTCAGTAATTAGAGAATGTACCACTATCAAATAAAAAGGGAAATATCATTTTAAGCCATGTTATCTGAAAAGAAAGTTACATTTTTCGTTTTTGATGGGAGGGAAGGTGTTCCCCAAATGACAGCTGGGCATTAATTTTCAGTAAATGAAAGACGATCACTCATTGAAAGTCAGCGCCTACTTGGACAATAAAACTTTTGAAATTGAAATGTTTGCTCGTCATGTAAAGAATATCATGCAAGATTTGGTTGATATGTTGTCTTTATTAATGAAATATAACATCCAAAGATGAGCATTTATTAGTAGAAAACCCATGTTGCTCTAAATTGACAGTGGTCACAAGAGCACATTAGTTACGCATCTTAGAAACCAAAGGATCCAGTACCCACATTATAATGATGACAGTGACAAATTTCAAATAAGTTTCTGCTACTTGCAGTCTAGGGATATTTCCAGAGTGCCATTCTCATTTTGTTTCTAGCTAGTTAAAGTTATCCTTTTATCAAATCTATCTGCAAAAAAATTTGGAAGTTTGGATGGGCAACTAACTCACTACACCATTAATAATTCATCCTAAGGCTCTGTCTCCACTTTGCCTATCATTCTCTGCTGTAAGGGGATTGTATCCATGTCTTAATCAGACTCTATGTCTTATTAATCAGACTCTGTAACTTTCTTCGTCTTAGAATGAACATACATTCATCTCTGTTAGTTCACTGTCTATGCTGCATGCTAAGAAAGCACTCAGCACATTCACTAACTTCCTTTTCTTTCTCAACTTCAGAATCCTAACTCTCAGTCCTTTTTGGTTGATACGTAAACTGCTGTTTGGTTGTTATTCATTCATTCAAACCAAAGCTACTCTCTGCATTGCGCTCAAAGTAATTTCCTAATTCGAATCTTTCTCAAGTTCTTTCTATGTTCTCTTCATCTGAAACTCCAGGTCTTAAATCTTTATAGTCTATTTCACACACTGTAATATTATATCACAATTCACAATGTAATATCATAAAATTTCACTCTAGCTTTCTCTAAAAACTTGAAAAGTATCAACCCAGAAACCACATCCAACCACAAATTATAATGATACTGTATATAGTAGCAATCAATTTTTAAATTCGAAATATTCTTCTGTATAGCTTAAACTTAACCTAAATATATTTATTATGTTAATCAATAACATAAAATGGTAATTTGTGTTTAATTTTGGCTTCCCTTCGAAAAAACAGGCTTTCCTCTCAATATTAAGGGTCCACATCGACACATATAACTGATTATTTTTGTAGGGCCTTCCGGAAGGCCCTAACATTTTCTATAGTAATGCCCAACTTTTATATATCATTAAACATTCTGTATTGCATTTTGTTTCTCAATAAATCAAGTAACCAACATGAAATCATGCCTCGTGCAAAAAAAAGTACCTGCAATTACGAAGAAAATATTTTTTGACACCAGAACAACAAAAATTAATCTAATATTCTGATCAATAAACTAGGTAACTTGCTTATAATTGGAGATATGAAGACAAAATAATGACTATGTCATCTGGTAATCGCCAGGCTTGCAACTACAACTTTTATTGTTCTCTTTTAAAGCCCTGTAGTCTTCAATTTGGTCAAAATAGTTGAATGGTGTAAAAAAAACATAGGGCCTTCCGGAAGGCCCTTTTGTCTACATGTTTATACAAAATTTACGACATTATCGAGTGGTAGCAGTTCATTTCAATCACATTGCAATTGTTGTAAATCTATAGAAACTTGCAAAACAGTAAAAAAAAGTGCCTCGATTAATACCTGGGTTGCCCATAATTGCGATTTTTGAAAAATATATAAAATTTTTCATAGGTGACAAAAAGTTCTTATTTTCAATAGTTGAGCAGACTAATAAAAACTATATATGTGCAGTAGCTGTTAAGTGTTTGTAAATAACCTTTAATGAACTATTCAAAGCTGAAAAACTAAGAAGTTTTATTGCTATATAGTACTGTGAAAATTTATTGTAAAAATGACCTAAAATAGGGCCTTCCGGAAGGCCCTTTTTCAGTCGAATTATCATTATATAACCTCTTGCTTGTTTTTATTATAGGTTCATTGAACGCCTTTTACACATCACCAGAATGCCGAGACACCCCTGCTCATAGAGATAACTCGACTCTCAGGATGCCTCCACTGACAAGAATCAGAAGAACACCAATCGCTGTAAGTGTGTGTTCTGAATCATCTTAAAATTTATGAAATTATTTAACAAAATATATATCCTCGCTTATAAGCCGATCTCGCATATGAAGTAGGTGATGTTGGTTTAAATACATTTGTGTTATCTTAATAAGACAGGGGTGGGCAACATACAGTACGCGGTTCTTCCTTGTCCGATTCGCGACGAGATTTTGACCGGCCCGCTGACTGTACATCAGTACATTATGATATTACATTATTACACTTTTAGTACATTATGATAAATTCATTATGTGTTTTTTGGTCTCTATTTTTTGTAAAGTTTAAACTTTTCTTTAAACTCGATTTATAATTTAATTTCTTGCATTAGCAAATAAATATGTGATTAAGATATTGAATACTATTCATGTGATAATCCGGCCCACCGAGGACTTCATTTTCCCACATCTGGCCCGCCGACTGGATCGCTTAGGATAGCTATCTTCACTCTCGCTACAGCATAAGGAGATATTGCCCCCACAGTTATACTCAATGATAGCTTGTATTAATTACGACTTTTAAATTTTAGAATCGATCATGTTTTATTTTCTTTAACCACGAATACAGCTAAGATAGAGCTACTCTCAATTAAAAATGTATTCCTGATGAGTGAGCATAATTTTTTAAATTTCTTATTTCTCAGGGAGGGAGTTGGGATGACAACAGCGTTGGTCATGGCTCAGTAGCTGCAAGAATGAGGAGGGAACGGAATCGTGCTATATTAAGAACTCAGTCAACCACGACAAACCCTCTCTATCATTCTGTCGATACGCATGGTGAGTCGCTGATCAAATTCAAGTTTTAACGTACACTTGGTTTTTGAATAGTTTGGAATAGTTGAACTACTTTACCAGCGCCACTATTATTGAACTTGGGATAGGATAGGTTCACATATTTATTCTGGGATCTGAATGCTTGTATAAAAAGATCATACTATAAACAGGAATTTTGCCGGTAATGCAAAATCTCAGATAGTTTCATCTGCCATATCTGCACTACATAGCTTATGTGAATATCACTATGTAATGCAAAATTAGGTCACAAATTTACTCGTACTCCCATTTATTGTCAAATTTATACTTGCACGCAAATTATTTGTCAATTCATCGCTCTAAAATCTAAAAATGACGGTTTTACAGTCTCTAAAACTAACTGCGAAGGTGTCTCGCACATTTTGCAAAAAATTGCGCTAAGGGAGAGTCAAGTCAATAAGACGGCTTTATCGTATAGCGAACCACGGCATCTCCTCCAGTCAACACTCCATGTCGGGTATGGGATTAGTTTGGTCAGTTATTTGTTTCGGGAAGCATGGACTTGCTACATGTTAAAGAGCCTTTGAAATGTTTCATTGCAGTTTAGCTTGACTAAAGAGATTGAAAACCACTGGTTTCTTATCGATTTTAATTGGTGAGTATGTTGATAGGTATTTGTCTGTCTGTTTGTCTGTTAGATGCACGCGATATCTCACGAAAGCGAGATTGAATCTGCTCTAGATTTTGTATGTGCATTCATCTTATCTCTGACCAGAAGCCTATCGATTTTGGGCGAATTATGTCGTATAATTAGCGAGTTATTAATTAATTAGTGATGGGACACAAGGTGTCACTATGGAATAAGAGCTGTTTTGGGGGATCCCCCAACTCTCGATCGAGAAGTCTTCGGTCTCTAACCGATGTTTTATATGAAATATAATAGAGATATAGAGAGAAATATGTTTTTTTTCCCTGTCTAATAGACCCATAAAAAAAATTTAAATCAAAGTTTATTGCAGTGTTCTAGAATACTTAATATATGTTCCATGTTCTCATTGCCAATTTCTTTAGAAATGAGTTACAAATTTCAGGGTACAAAACTTTTTGCGCACCTCTCACATGAAAGTAACATCATAATGTTTGAATTTAGCTTATTTAAAACGAATTAAATAACAAGGCAGAAATTTTGGAATACTGAACTATTCGTTACAGATACTTGCTTAGTCACCATGTTCCCATTGCCAATTTCTTTTGAAATGAGTTACAAATTTTAAGGTACAAAACTTTTTGACTCTGGATAGTCTTCTAACCCAGGGGTTCTCAAACTTTTAGTGTTATGGTGCCCATCAAGAGGTTGACTATTATTTACAGAGCCGCACAATAAATTTATAAAAACAAAAAACACATTGTTATGTATCAATTAATGTCCCTAACTAAGTAAACTAAAATTACTTTATTTATTGTCTCGTATGTATTTATGTATTTTCTGCTTTGTTTTTAAAAAAATATTGTTTTAATAGGTAAACGAATAAGTTGAGGATCTGCTAGTTTTCTCTCACTGAGCCCCGGGGCTCTGCATTGTTTTTCTGAATTGGCGTTGTTGTTGTTAGTTTTGTTTGGGATGGTTATTTGGGGGGCTTTTTGGTACGAAAAATTGTCTTTCTTCATAACTATCGACTCCTTAATTTAAAATTTACAGTACTTGAAGAAGTGCCGATATAATAAACTAAACATGGTAACTCATAAACTTCACATTGACCTTCAATTTAGCATAGCCGTCACGACTATCCTTCGTTTGCGAGTTTTTGAGGCCATTTTGAGAACCGAGGCTCTATCTGAGAGGGCTCCGCGAGCCCTATTCTTTCAAAATTTTAAATATTTTTCAAATACAAAGCAGCAAATACATCCGAGTCAATAAATGACGTAATCCTAGTATACTCAGGAACATAATCTATAAGTAATAATGTGTTTTCAATTTTTATTTTATGAATTTATTGTGAGCTTCCGTAAATAATAGTCAACCTTTTCACGGGCTCCATGACGCCAAAAGTTTGAGAACCACTGCTCTATTAGACCACCGTCACTCATGCCTTTTCAACAGCAGCCCTTTCTCCTCACCCTCTCCTAAGTGGAATATTGATTTTACAAAACCATTACGTGTCTGTGTAAATAGCTAGTTTCATAAATATGAGATTATCTTTTTCCCATACCAAGTTTGGCCTAAGATAAATCACGTCTATATAGGTTGGTTTCTTTATAAGTTATGCTTAGGCACATGATATTATAGGTAGGGTATCCCATATTTATTTCCCAGACGGCAACTAGGGACATCCAAAACCAACTGAATGTGTTTAAAATTATTTATATTTGATAAAGTAAATTTTTGATTTTACGAATATTTTGGAATATTTTATTGAAAATTATCATAGCCTATCAGATATTCACTCCACTCTAACGGTATGACATCATGCTAACTGAATTTTAACAGTTATAACGAACGATTTGTACAGCTTATATGCAGATTTTTATAAATTCACTGTTTTAGGGCGGTTTTTAGGAGATCGGCCTATATGTAATTATATATGGTAATGTTTTAAATTCTCGATTTACTGAATATTCCAGAATAGTTTCATTCAAAAATTATGACCCATTAATAACTCTTTTTTTTTTCTGCATTTCCAAATTTAATCTTACTGAATATATTCTGAATGTATCAAACTCTGCGACTTTGGCAATCTCTATCTATAGTTCCCATACCTGGAGAACAGTGCACAGACCTATACCCGGAGATATCTGATTTAGCAGTTCTCAACCAAAGGCCACAACACAATACTATGAGCAAAACTGATTTTGCTTTCACTTTACAAGAGAAGTTCCTATTCTTCCTAGTTCCATTGCTTGATTAAGGTTATTTCACAGGGTGTTATCACTTTGTTGAGCATGAATTGTTTGAACATAATGGGATTCGGAATCTAATACCACTGGAATCACAAACAAGGGGGCATGAGTGCTGAAACCCTCTGGAAGGGGGCCACTGGCCATAACTGGAATCATATGAAAATGTTCAAATTTGGGGGCTCCCGAAGTATGCGAACCAAGATGGCGGACATCGGAATGTAATATGTGTACTAGCTTAGGGTTAGGCCATAATTTTAGGTATAAATACTACGGGAGGCTCTTGGCTAGTCTTCGAACTGATAATAGGACTAAAATGAAGAAAATTTGAAAAAAATTATCGCCTAACCCTAACCTGTTACCCATGTTACGTTCCGATGTCCGCCATCTTGGTTCGCATACTTCGGGAGCACCCAAATTTGTTATTTGCGATTTTTTGAATTATTGAATTTATCGATTATTCGAGTATTTTCATTTATTCTTGGGTATACTAATAAAAATATATTTAAACTCCTTTCAGCGAATGTAACGAGCACTCTAAACCTCATCAACACAACATCGCTTTCACCTTTGCCCTGTGAACGTTTCCATGACAACAGTGAATGGTTGAGATATTTATGGGACAGTACGCCATACCACTCGGCAGCGACAAAAAGCAGCGCAGGGAGCATGTGTAATATTCCTGTATCAGGTAAACATTGCGTTTTATTCTTTATCTTTTAAACTTTTAACTTGTCAGTATTGGTTGGTGTAATTAAGACACCATCTTCACAGTCGTTCTTTTACCTTATTTTTTGTAATCTGAAATTTTGACTTCTGGGAATTAGAAACTGTGTGTATATTATGTGCATTTTTAGAACACAGACAGTTCGACACAATTACATAATCCTAGACCAGGGGTCCCCAAACTTTATTGGCTGTGGGCCAAAATTAGAATCGGAAGGATGTTCGCAGGCCGGAAGAGTGTAGTGCCCGAAAGTACGCGGCGGTTTAGCTGGGGGTTCTGTGGATTCACGTCCATTTTATGTTTTTTTGAAACCTGTTTGTTGGACTCATAATGGCGCTTAATGTCGTATTCCTTCAGAACTGGAATAGTTTGTTGGCAAAGAAAACAAATCGATGAAGTTTGATTTCTTCAATGGAGATATACGAACACTGACATTTATCAAGAAAAGTCAGTTTTCATCATCTAGTATTCGTTTGCTTTTTGACATCTCTAAGCTTTCGCTTAAGCTCGGCGGGCCATTTTAAATCGTCATGCGGGCCGAATTTGGCCCGCGGGCCACGGTTTGGGAACCTCTGTCCTAGACGTAAATAACTTCACTCTGATGCGTGTTTATCAAATATTTGTGATTTTTGTTACACAACCAATCGAAGTTTAAAGTATGGTTTTAATTTGAAAATTGACTTTAATTTAATGATCATAATGTGTTGCCAGTATTAGATTTGATTTTTTTTTTAAATGTTTATACAATTCAAACAATAGAAGACAATTTACCTATTGCCCAGCAGTTTCTCGATTCTCTGAAATCCCTCATTGGGGTTCTGCTTCACCAGAAAGGTTGAAAACCACCGATGTAGACAATGATAAGTCAAAAGCAGGGCTTTTGGCGCTCCAGAAGTAGGCCTATGTGTACCAATTTGTTCGCTTACTTTATATCAAGGGCTGAAGTCTATGGGCTAACACAGACAATCCCCGGTCTCGTAATAACTAACATAAGAAAAATCAGAATAAAATTATGGTCTAATCCTAACCTGGTACATACACTATGGGCCTACAAGGCTTTTCAAACTTTTAAGCTCGCGACCCCGTTCAATATATTAAAATTTTCTGAGCCCCTGTTTACGTTTCAAACGCCATACAGTTCAATGCAAGTGTTAACTGTATCTTCATTGTATTTCTGGCAACTAGCATTTCCTTATATGGCTGAGCATGACCTATGATGTCATCAGTCGACATTATTATGCAAACGCGTCGCCTCTCTGATCCTATATATTCTCTAGAAATCTTATGATTTATGTTTTGCACTAGTTTTAAGAATTGTGTTTTGAATCAAAACTCTAAAAAAGAACAATAAATATAGTACTTTGCGACCCCTAAAATTTGTTGGGCACTTCCCATGCAGGGTCGCGACCCCCAGGTTTGGGAGGCTCTGGTCTAGAGCCCTAACAATGGCTAGTTTATATGTTTATCTAATTGAAACTATATTACCTGAATGTGGTCCTTTTTCGATTTTGTGACCAGACTTTTTTATCGATTCCTCAGAAATGAATAATTTTTGTCAAAGTTCTACAACCAAATCTAATATTTGGACAACCATGGCCATACAATACCTATAGATAAACTGAATATAATATACTCGATTTGTCAGTAAGCCGAACATGTCCTGACGAAAAAAATTCCAATTTTCAAGATTGGCTAATTCATTAATTATTAATGTCTAATCGTCATGGAAACGTCTCGATTTGTCGCCATGAATACCAATTTGTGGTGGAATCACGAACCTCGGTGAAAATATTATCTGAAATCCTACCATTAGTTGGCAGTGATTCTTACCCTTATCTTATTATCTCTTATCTTATGTTTTCACAAACTCAACGAGCCATCTTTCGGGGGCGTGCCTGGGGCGTGGATTTAAAGGAGGATCCCCCTATTTTTTAATATAAAAAAGTACTTTTCTGTATCATACATACCAATTTTTCGTAGCTTGAAACTAGAGAGGATTACTGGATTTCTTTCCGCCGTACGGTGGTTCATGTAACCAAGATTTGTCGGTTACGGCTTTCAACACCGTGAAGTTCATCCATCTGAAACAAATAACTGATAACCAGTTGAGAGACCGTGGTTCGCCATATGATTAGCTCATGTTGTAGGCTTTCATCTCCGTCTGGATAAATATGTAAATTAGCTGTATGCTTGGCATATATATATTTGTTGAAGAATATTAATTATATTTCCTATGGGAGAGGTAGAGACTGTGAATGTGTGTGTGAACTCACTGTTTGTTATTTCTTAATTTATTCTGTTGCGAAAACCTGTCGTGTGACATTCGACAGGAATGCGTAACTCCAATGGAAAGATCCCAAAAAAGCACTTAAAACCCATATTATTTTGTTTCATTATTTTAGTACATGTACTGAGTCCAGAGATTGCCAAAACCCAAAAGATCTATTGTCTGAAATACATTTTAAAATAATATTTACGAAAATGGAATATCAAATATATCAGGTGGAGGGGGGGTCTGGTCTGGACCATCCTCCCCCCCCCCCCTGTTTTTCTATATCATACCAAGCAATTTTCATTTTCATAGATTAAAACATTAGCTGTTACAGTCTAACTTGGTAATTCAATTTTTAGAATCCCGCCCTCCCTTCCTTAGAAAATTCCTGGTTATGCCCATGGGATGTGTCCTAAATTAGATCATGTCCAAGTGAGAACACATAGGAGTCATTATTTATTAAAATACTTTGAATCTGGAACAGGAGTGTGCAACAGGCGGTCTGCGGGCCTCAACCCGGTCATCCAAGCCATTTAGTGTGGCCCTTGTCAACACTCAGATTTTCTCCATCAAGCCTAAAATCCGGATCCGACAGTTTCCTTTTGATACGGCGCTCACATGGGTAAAAATGAAAAAAAAATGTTGCACATTCCCTGATCTATAAATACATAAAGATAATTAATTATTTGATTGTTTCTCTATTTTAAAATTTTCAGAATTTATTAAACAAGTTTTTTATTGATCATGTTGTGAGACTTTAATTGCGTGTAATGCTAATTATTGAATTAAAATATTTTTAATTATTCCTAAAAATCAAGAATTTTACAAGTTACAACAAATTGAAGATTCAACTGGTTCAGGATGCCTCTAGAATAGCCATCAAGAAAATCTCGCATGGACTATATTACCCACACACTAAATGCCTTTTTTTTAATATAATTTCTTTTTTTCACCCCAGGATATCAATCCAGTTCTTCACAACAACCGTGGGACACTCTCTCAATACCAGAGTTGCATTCAACGAAGTCATGTGACCGAACGTGTCATCGAACGCATCATAGACATTCATATTCATCAGGATATGCCAACAGTAAGCTGCATTATTTCATCTTTTTATGCCATACAGCAGGGGTCGGCAACCTTTTGTCGCTCGCGGGCCAAAATTAAAGGTTGCAAGTCGTTGGTGGGCGCACATATTTTTAGAATGTTAAAAAATCGAAATGATGACCTATGAATCACATTTTATCACACAAATCAGAAGTTACATTTTAAACAGCTCGCGAAGACTGACCATTTGAATATTTTTTGCGCCATTAAAGCATTTGCATTTAGCATCAACTTTTCTGCGTTTTTTTGCCATTTGTCTAATTATAATTAAACTATAGGCTCATTAAACGAGTAATTGTGAATTATATACTTATTACATTATAATATAATTTAGTCTACACGTAAATTCTTTTGCATAAAGAATTTAATCGACAAAACAGCTATAATTTGTTACTATAAATCAGTGAATCGTCGCGAGACGGATTATATTGCTCCGCGGGCAGGATCTGACCCGTGGTTGCCGACCCCTGCTATACAGCTTATTCACATTTTTCACTCAGAACAAGTCTTTGTTCAAGCAGAGATACTGAGTGAATATGCTTTTTTGCCATTTAAAAAAAAAGTTGAAAATTATGGGGGGAGGGCATGGCCCTCGCAGGCCCCTTGGTTATGGTTTTGACCCACTTTATTACACATGGGTGAAGATGGGCCATGCAATTTGAATCTGTGATGCTTATTCAGTAATTCTTAGAAATTTACACCGCACGCTTTGTATAAAATTCATGCTTTATGTATTTTACCAGTAAAGGGCTTCGATCAAGCTGATCACAAAAATTTTAGATTTTAGTATCATTTACAACCTTCTACTATTTTCAGCATCCTATCTACACTCAAGTCCAACATCCGGATGCGCATCCATCGCAAGCTCAGATCTTGACTCCGCAGATTTTATGTACTTTAATATAAACGATGACTCATCATATTTTGACGGCGACTCGTTATTTGCTGAATCGTTGGGAATGCTTGGTGACAATGACCCAGCGTTTTCTACAAATATTCTAAGTTTATTAGAAGAAGGAAGCATTAGCTGCAGGTAATTCTATTTCTTAACCTCTCTTCAATCAAAGCGCTACGGCAGTGGTTCTCAACCTGTGGTATGCTCACCACTAGTGGTACAGGGGAGCTTTTCAAGAGGTACGCGAGCAGCTTTGAAATATTGCAACAATCACTTTTTGAGATGGCTAAAATACGCCGACAACGCTTTCTCTTTGTTTTCCGTACTGTATGTATTTGCTGAACAGCGTTTACAGAGCCACAAAGGATGTTGTGCCACATTTTAAAATATTTCCATAATGCGTTTCTTGTGCCATTGTCGGCTGTGCGCGGTCAAGGTAGACAACACAGTAACGTGTTACATGGTCAGTAGAAGGTTGAGAACGACTACCCCAAAAGGCTACTTTATTCTTTTCTTCTCCATAAATATGATGATGGTTTGGGTCCTTTTTTAGAGATCGCCCATGTCCATTTTGCATGTTACGTCACAAAGGTTGTTGCGACAAATTTTAAAATACTTTCATAGCGTGTTTTTTGTGCCATTGTTCCTCACCCCAAGAAGGGCAGAACGACTGCTCCGAAATGACGGCTTTATTCTTTTTTTATAAATATGATGATGGTTTCATATGGTTCTGAACCACTGGAGCGGTTCTGGAAAATTCGCCGCAAGAAATTATGCCGCAGAGGAAAAATCATTGCATGAAAAATCGTTGCAAAACATTTCACTGTAAAACAAGTACCGGTATTTGTGATAAAACAGTTAGGTTTTTGAAGTATCTTTTTATTTAAAAGCATACTCTAACCCTATAAATCTAACTGTTTTTATCACAAATACCGTATATTTTCGCACATACGCCGAGTTTAAAACACAAAAAAAAAGTTGCCAAACTAAGGGGGCGGCTTATACTCGCATAACTCAGATTGCATAAAAAAATCGACTCATTCGCGCATGACTTTGATCACGCAACGAGATTGACATTTAGCTAACTTGCCGGTAATTCCAAAAGCTCAAAACCGCACTAAGTTCTCACGATAAAGAACGCACACACACAATCGCTTGTGCCGGTGTGATTGTCTCATCATACAGCTGATGGCTCGTACAGTCTGTGATTGGTTGTTAAACACGTGACGCTTGTACAGTCTGATTGGCGTCGATTTACGGCCAGCGTTTCGTGGTGAAACGTTATCATTTAGTGCACTATCGCGGTACAACGCAAGTAACGGCGCCCTCATTTTGATCACCTTTACGATATGTTATCCTTTTCAGTTGCGCTGATAAAGACTCTTATCTCCGTTATAATTGAAATATTTACCGTTACATATGCATGACATCGCTTACGCTGTTGAGGTGATGACACAATATTTAAAATTAAATGATAAATAAAATTATTCAAATCGCATTACGGAGCAACATCGAAATAATGGAGCTTGTAAATATGTCACAAAACCACATTCATTCTACGACGTTTGAAAATCCTTTTAATAGCAACTTCCGAATCAGCGATTTATAAGAATGTGTTAATACAACATTCGATTTAAAAGTAATTGTTTTATGCTGATACCTTCTGTTTTATCCCTTCATTAATACAAATCACCACGCATTGAAAAGCAATATAGACGTTATTAACATAAATTTACAAGTAAGAATCAGGTAGAATAATACTCACAGTCACAGCATTAATTCTTAACAATAAAACTGTAATTTCAATTATTTTGAACAACCATTTAACTGAAAAGTTGAAATAACATATGAATATGGTGTGATAAATATTGCTGTACGTCCATGGGTTAGGCAACAGCTGTGTTTTCCGTTTTTTTCCTGAATCAGCAAAACGGAAGGGTCATAAATCAATTACGTTATCTCGTGGTAGCGTTTTCTTTCTGAAGTGCCGATATCGGGCAGGAAGTGCTTCCCACGTTTTTGTTTTTAAAGGATTAACACAAATAACAGCTGGTATACAAAGTCAATTAAATAATCGGCAGACACTTTGGCATACATTATAAAATATATCAGCCCATATATGAAGCTTACACAAATCATGTTTGAGAAGACTTGCGAAAAATAACCAAATTTATTGCCGTTGCCGCTCAGGATATCTCGACTACGTTAATATAAAATAAGGATTGTAAAATATTTTCAATCAAAAATGTTCTCATGTCATACATTCGGTACTTCAAGTCGGCGCTGATTTAATTCCTTTTATGTTGACAGTAATCCGCAAAGTGCTGTCTTCCATTACGATTTGTAGAAGCGGCGTATATGCGAATTTTTATAAATTCACTATTTTGAAGCTGGTATTAGGGAGTCGGCTTATTCGCGAGATAGGCGTAATTTCGGGAAAATACGGTACTTGTTTCACAGAAAAATGCTCTTGCAGCAAATTTTCCAAGAACCCTAAGAAACTCCCTGCTCCTTCCACCAACAAGGCTTCAAGACATGTTTCAAGAAAAACTGCCCATAAAAATCTTGTTTTTCATTATATATATAAAATGTTGAGAACCGCTGCTCCTTTTTTGACAATACTTTTTCTAATATTTTTTTTAAATATGATAATGGTTTCATACTTTCATTTGGTTGTGAGCCACTGCTATGTAAGAAAGTACCTGATCCTCGCACCAACAAAGCTTCAAGACATGTTTCAGAAAAAACTGCCCATAAAAATAATCTTGTTATTCATTCTCAGAACTCCATTCCCAGCAAGTGATTGGCCAGACTCTATCAGTGAACTTGATTTTGACTGCAGCGAGGGAAAATCTGATGATGTAACAAACTGTGATGCTCTGTCGGATATCGGGCCGAGCTGTTCTAGTCCTCCCCAACGTAGAAGGTTAGTATCACGTTTGAGCATTTTCGAATACCTGTTGATTTCAGAATCGAATATTTTTGTATGCCACTTTTTTATTGTAATTAGTCCTGTCAATAAATGAATTACTGTAAACATAGAATACATCACTAAGACAGATTGCGGATTGTTCACACACAATGAAAAACACCTATTTATCAATAACTCAATACAGAAAATAGTCTTATGTCAGGATTGCATTAAAAAAAATATGGCTTCAATAAAAAAAAATTTGGTGAGTCCACCTCAACCATTGGCGGGAAGAAAAAACAACATTGGCGGCGATTCGAAATTTTGCTCTGAACCGATTTGAATAATTTACTATTCAAATCAATTCGAAGGCCCAGCCCTAGTTAATATAGACCAGAGTACTTCAAACAATTTCATCACATTTACAGCCCACTTGTCACAGCCAAATTTTTTTCCGATCCTCATGAACTGAGAAAAAAATTTAGTAAAATTAATAATGAAGAAAACGAGAATATCGGTCAGAGACCGAAGACTTATCGATCGAAAGTTAGGGGATCCCCTAAAACAACGCTCTTATTCCATAGTGACACCTTGTGTCCCATCACTAACTAATTAATAACTTGCTAATTATATGACATAATTCGCCCAAAATCAATAGGCTTCTGGTCCGAGATATGATGAATGCACATGCAAAATCTGGAGCAGATTCGATTTTGCTTTCGTGAGATATCGCGTGCATCTAACAGACAGACAAATACCTATCAACATACTTACAGACAAACAAACAGACAGACAAATACCTATCAACAAACTTACTGATTTACATTTGCATTAGTGTTCAACAAAACTCCAAAATCACATACATCAATTAAATAATTGCGGATTTGATTTTGTTATCTCATTTCAAACTTCGATATTTCGAAAAAAAGTAATGTGAATGTCTTTTTGGCACTGGAAGTTGCCAAAGTATGAACTGACCAATGAACTGTTGTCGCTGTGCACATATTGTCGTATCCTTAATTTTAATTCTATATTACTGTAATAGAATGGCCAAGCGACAAAGCGTGTCACAAAGCAAGACCAGTGAAGTAGAACAAAATGATGATTATGACACAGATGAACAGTCAAGCATTACTGAAGCTCAACCACCTATGACAGATGTACTAAATGCAGAGGTAGAAATGAACGGGAAAGCAGACTCACCTGAACCAGAAGTTTGTGGCTTTGTTCAACTAGATGTGATAGCCAACTAGGGCGATACTGTTATATTTTCCTCTTAACCTACATTGTGATAGAATAAGATTTTTATATTTATCTCTGAGAGAGGAAAGCCGATAATATGGCTTAATCATATGGGATTAGTTAGCTGGTTATTTGTTTCAGATTCATAAACTTGGTGGTGGAGGAAGCAATAAGTGACCAGAAGTTACGTGAACCACCGTAAGTTACAGAGCCTCACTGTGACAAAGAGTGTTATTGTTAACAATTATAATAAATATCATCTCATGGGGTTCAAACACAAGCAACTCTAAGTACAGAGCCTTGTTCTAAGTGAATAGAGTTTCAAGTTTTTAAATAGAATTGTTGGACTCCTAGCCGCTGCCGAGTGGTTCACGTAACAGCTGGTTGGTTACTGCATCCATCATCATCAAGTCCATGCATCAAACAAATACCCAGCTAACTGATTCCATTCCCCGATATAGTAGGACTAGTAACCGAAGGAGATGCCATGGTTTGTCATATGAATATGCCGTCTTATTGACTTTCCTCTCCTCTGGATTTAAATTAAAAATCCGAACGTAAAATAATCTGACCATTAGACCATCACACTGCAGCATCAGAATAATTTATATTTTCTATCAGGTACAAGAGGCCGCCACACCGACTGACAATACAGCGCCAAGTTCAATAAGTGACATCGGATTCCTTCATTCTATCACTGAATTGAACTGGAAGAATTTCAGCATGGAAGAAAAGGAAGAATGCCTGAATAAGCTGAATTCTGTCATTTCTGATGTGCTAACATCTGAGGTGAGACTTAGAGCACCGCAGAAATTTGGACTAGTATTTTCTCGTAGACCGAATTGTTCGAGCCATTCGCTACCATGTTATCACTGTATAGTTCAGGTGTGGGCAAGGCTTTTGGACTCGGGACCAAAAACTTTGTCCATCTTGACTGGCGTTAAATTTTATCAACATATTTACAGTGTTACAAAAGCATAAGTTGAAAACAATAATCCTCGTGTCAAAACTAAATATATTCGCAATCTTAACAAATTCCATGAGTTATTTTGAGCTTAAACATCAAAATTTAGTTTTAGTTTAATCGTGGCTGCATCCGAGCCAGATTGAATTACCCAACGGGCCGGATTTAGCCCATGGGCCATAGTCTGCCCATGTCAGGCACAGATATTTCATGTTGAAATTATGCAATACAGACTCCCAGAAAACTCAAAATTTTTAGTCCCACTCCCAACAATGGGGGAATTCAAAATACGATCTTGGCTCTGACCCAAACATTATACAAAATGTGCCAGACTTCGACTCCACAGCTGTGAGACCCGTCATACTTCAATACAGGGGTAACCAACCTTTATGAACCGAGGGCTACTGACGTGCGACTTACTGGAGATATACCCCATTACTTGAGCTAATTTAGAGCAGACGTTTGGGCGACTTGGTGCATTAGTGACTCCCTCTTTAAAACTTACTTACTATGACCGTATTACTATTGAAACCTTTTAACGCTTTTGTGAGACCGTATTTCACTTGTATTGTACATTACTTCAGGAACAATCAACAGCCGTGACACCTGTCATACATACTTCAATACTATGCATGGCTGTCTAGGACTGCATTTTATAAAATTTATTGAAAACTTTTAGCGCCTTTGTGAGATCGTATTCCACTTATATTCTATTGTACATTATTTTAGGAACAATTGGACATGATGCAAATCCTCGCTCCAAATGCTGTGAATGGGTCACTCTCTAGTGGTCACATATCTTCTATTGATGTTGATTACGCTCGTTTAAATAAAGTTATAAAATATCTTGACGCACGCCTGAATAACGACAAAACGGAATCCTGGGATCTCATAAACTCACCGGAGCAGAACAACGGAACAATAAAACTAATCAAGCAGAAAAAAGTTGTGAAATATAACGACAATGTGCCATCTTGTAGTTACACTACAAAACATTCATTTCAAATGGAAATAGCTGAATCAGCAAAAAATTTTGATGACTCGTTAATGAAATGTAAACCAAGATTTTACGAGAGTACAGATGATACGACAAAATTTAAGAAATCTTCGTATTTTGCTTCGGGAAAAAGCTTCGACGACTCGATACGATTTAAACATCGTTACCCCGGGAAATATTTAGTCGACGAAGCGTCCGCTATGAAACAACGAATACGACCAGGGTCGAGACAAGAGACGTCGTCAGTAAAAAGCACCGACACGCAACATTCGGATAATTGTTCTGACCCGCTATGTTCCGGTTGTTCAACGAATCTACGAAGGAGTAACAGCGATGGGAATTTACCTAAATCTATTGGAGCTGAAGCACAGAAGGAACACAGGGTAAGGTTTTAGAACTGAGGAAAATTTGTGATTTATTGTGAACATGGTATACTGCTTTATAGAGGGCTACTATACTTTTTTGGTACTCTTGTAGTGCGTGTACCAGGTTAGGGTTAGGCCGTAATGTTATTCCGGTTTTTCTTATTTTAGTTCTATTACGAGTTCAGGACTGTCTATGTTAGTCAAGTGAATATACCCCCCGCTTATAGGTTTCATTCGCTTTACACAAATTGATGTAGAGTAGGCGAACAAAATTAGTTACCTTCATATTGGTACACGTACTTCTGGAGCACCCTTTTTTTGTAAGGACTAATATCTTTCCGAGTATCTAGTGCAGTGTTCTTCAACCTTTTTTTATCGAAGTATACCTTTTACAGTTTTTCAAGAACTTTGTATACCTTACAAATACCAATGTTTATTTAAGGCTCAAATAATCATTCATTTTTAAGAACATATTGTACTGCAATATCATCATGCAATCTAATAGGCTAGTGACCGCAAGTTATAAATTTGACTGACTGCCTTAGCGTCGACGGGAATGATGTTCGACGTAAATCAAACAAAGTGCATGGCATTCGAAATCACCAACCCAGACACATGCCTGTATTATCTCTATAATTTGTGATGTAACAACGTGCTCATGTCGGTTCTCAGCGGTAATAACATTTTACATTTCATTTGCGCCGCGTTTGCATTGTTGTATCCAATTGAATATTTTATAGGCTGTACACCTTTCGTATACCCTTTATCAGTTGTATACCCAACTTATGGTCTGGTATACACTTGGGTATACCGTATACCCGGTTGAGGAGCACTGATCTAGTGGATAACTATTTATGCGTTACTCTTTGGGGTTCAGCGTTTCCGATCAAATCTACTGTACCTTGGGTGAAGTGGCCGACATCTGGATCCGATTTAATTGCAATGGCAAGCACTCACTCTATTAATGTAAAACTATGTGCACCACTGAGATTTAATTACATGATCATTTTATTATTTTGATACTTTTAAAACAGATATAACTTTAATTCAGTTGATAGTACCCTTCCCCCCAAAGAACGGCAAATTGTCGCTGATATCTTTCTTTAAGTTCTCTTTTATATTTTAGAGGCAACAACGGCAAGCACGTCGATGGGCAAAGTGGTTGAAAACTCGTCAACGGAAAGAAAATCGTCAGCTTTTAAAAGAACATCGTAGCGGACTTTTTGTCAACGAAAGAAAGGTCAAACTGAAAGTCGAATGTAGGGAGGAGGTCGATATCGAAGTCAGTTGATTTGATTGGTCGGATTATGTTTTCCCTATGATGTCATAATGATACTTTCTGACATTTTCATTGTGAACTCATCATACAAGAAGTTGGTATTATTTGTGAGGTCACAATCAAGTTTATTGTTGACTTCATAATCAAAAACTTTTCTTTCTGTATTGTTGCATCATAATTAACTGTGAAATTGCTAGTTGTTGTTCGTCTACCTGTTTTTTCTTCTTTTATTATATAAATTTTCCTGATATATTTTCTTTTTTTCAATTATGAAAAACTACCCCATTTATTGCAAAGAAGCCAAAGTCAATATTATTTTGGGGTCGGTTCAAGCAATGAATCAAAAATTGAAAACTGTGATGTCAGTTACGGTCCGCAGGAATGATTACTCATCCTTCTCCTATGCTTTCGTGTCAATAAATCATAGAGAGAAATTGTGAAAACACTGAGTCATGATGTTGCATGGTCATGAATCTTCTTGCTCCCTAATGCAGCTAAAATTTACCTCTGGTTAAGACAAGCCTAATCTGCTAAACGAGGAGGACTTTTTGAACATAAGCTGTCGGATTAGTATTTAATGCTTATTAGGAAAATATTGTAGTGTTGACAAGGGCCACACTGAATGACTCGCTGGGCTGTGGCCCGTGGGCCGCCTTCTGCACATCCCTTCGTATCTAATCATGGTTTAAAGCAATATTTACCGAAGTATTTCCATAGAAAGTTGCAAGAGTTTAAAAACCAAAAATATAATTTTGCTCATTTTCTCAAAGCAGTTTTTCCGAACCCAAGACTTCTGGGGTAAATCCCTTAAAAACAGGGGTGTGCAACCTATGACCAGCGGGCTGAATGCGGCCCACAAGGAAAAATTGTGCAGCTGGTGGAGAAGTGCCAATTTTGAATTGTGTGCAGCTCGCGAAATGGGTTTTTAATTTAGTTTAATCTGATACGTGCGATTACAAATCCTATACCTGATTCCAATTTATTATCTATGATGTAACAATGTCCTGAACAATGAACGACGCATGTCACAAGACCAATAACTAAAATTTTTGTGCGTGCAACTACTAGAAAGTCAATGTTGGATAAAGATGCGCCCGCGCTCAGTTATTTGTATCATGCCCTCCTGTGATAAAGGTTGCACACCCCTGCGTTAAAATATGAATATCCTACATAAGCATGGAGTAAAAAATTTCCTCGTTTTGTTTTTCAAATAATTCAATTCAAAACACTTTGTTTGTCACTGTATTGTTTATATTTTTTCTTGTGTTTATTTATCCTATTTAACTTAATAATAACGGCAAAATTACTTTGAAATAGCCAGAGACTAAGCTGCCACTAGAGGCAGCAGTAGACTGGTTCCACGGTCATATCGAAACAGGGTTGTTATTTCAAGAATCAAGATTTGTCTGAATCAGCATTTCTGACTTTAATCGAGATAAAAGGAGTCAAATTTTTTTTTCAAAGTTCTAACATTCTAAGTTGGTTCATTCGCAATAATCATGCTTTATACTACAGATTGACTTTAACATATTCTAGTGAGAAAATAACTTTTTTGAAAAGATTACGGAAACTTTTGGGTACAATCATACACAAAGAAAAGTTCAAGTGTTGAATAATTTTCCCCATTGACGTAGAAATGATTTATGAATTCTGTTTTTAGTGTTACACTGTTACAAACATACATTTTAAACCAAACCAAAATTATTTGGACATTTTTTCTGAAAAGTCCATTTGTAGAATATGTTTGCTTTTGGAAATTTTCCTTTAAGTCCTGACTTGATGTCCCATGATAGCTACTGGCACCTACTGCAACGGCAAACCTACATGTATATGTCACTTATGTACTCCCGTAGTATGTGAACCAATATGGTGGAAACTGGAATGTAGTATTTGTACCAGATTAGGGTTAGGCCATAATTTCTGGTACAAATACTACGGGAGTCACTTGACTAGTCCCCGAACTCGAAATAGAACTAAAATAAGGAAAATTGGAATGGAATTATGGCCTAACCCTAATCTGGTACACATACTATGTTCAGGTGTCCGCCATCTTGGTTCTTGGTGGTTGTTTGTTAGAATGATGTATGGCTTGGCTTTCTTCATCACTATTACTGGGTGCAGTAAAAATTCCAGGTCATAGAAGCACTATAACCCAGCATGATGCTTGTCCACTAAGACCTCTGTCTTAAACTTATTAGTCATTATATACCACGTTGTTAATAACTGTTATATTTAGATGTTACACGAGACTAACTCTCGATGCCTTTGCGCTAGTGGATTCGTATGCATATAATGCAAGGATGCCGTAGCAGAAAAAAACATGACTATAATATGCACTTAGTATGATAGTGTCTGCTCACAACACTAGGCTGTACTTTTGCTTTGAAAAACGCATATTGTATAATTCATATAGTTTTAGAAGTTTCAGTGGCGCTTGCGGATTTTCTGTTGGTTTTATTCCCACATTTTGGTTATGGGCCATCGACTTTGCTTAGTAAAAATAATAATAAATATCTTGTTAATAGTGGTAGCTTGCGAGTATCTCTATCAGTGCGTATCTGTTTCCAATCAAGTTTTTGAGCAATTGCAATTATAAACAATATTTTCTTTAATTCCGTATTTTTTGCATATCAGCATATTTAACCGTATTGGAACCGTGAAGAATTCCGTAAAAACCTTTTTGTGCATTTAAAAAAGCAACATTAACTGGTCTTTTTATAGGTTATAGTCATAGACGACTTACAGGGTCTAAAATCTAAATTACTCTTAAGATTGGCATTTTTAAAGGTAATTTATTATTTATGTTCAATTTTATTGACAAAAACTAAGCATTAATCATGAATTCCTTGTATAATAAATTGAAACACACAGAATATGAAATTCTTTGCCGTAGCTGATTCTCAATATAAGTCTATGTTTGTAAGTCAAGATGTCTCACCCAGCCTTTTGATAGAATTACTTCTGGATAAAAATCTTATACGACGAAAGCTAATTTAGAGTTAGATCACAGCGCTTGGATGAATGGGATTTGATTATGTTTTGCTCGTTTGATGAATAATAATAACAAAACGTCCACTATGCTCCACTTCCACTCCACTTCCACTTCCCAAAGTCTGGGCTGCATGAGATATTCATTTACTCATTAAAATACCGACTTGGTAAAAGTAGTAGTATACGACGAAAGCTAATTTAGAGTTAGATCACAGCGCTTGGATGAATGGGATTTGATTATGTTTTGCTCGTTTGATGAATAATAATAACAAAACGTCCACTATGCTCCACTTCCACTCCACTTCCACTTCCCAAAGTCTGGGCTGCATGAGATATTCATTTACTCATTAAAATACCGACTTGGTTAACTTAGTAACTAAGTTCTAATCAGGATTCCACTATCAGGATAATTCCTTTCAAATTAACAGTTGCAATTTTACATGTTTTGCATATTTACTCGCAACTTCTTTGGAAACTATGCCATACTTTCATGGTGCCATTTTGTGTTCATATATGCTTAGATCGCTGTACTCATTTATAACAAGAGAGAGCAGTAGTTAAATATATGGGTAGAAAGGCCAAAGGTCATAAAAGTGTTCCCAAAGATTATATTTCAAAGTGCTACTCAAATTGAAATAAAACAGCAAAATAATGAACCCAAAGAACATTCAAAATGATTTAAAAGTAATAGCTATTCCAACTAAGTACCTAAAATCGATTGGTTTATTAGTTAAAGAAAAGCAATTTTTTCAATATCAACGAAAAATTATCAAAATCTTCCATATGGGAACTTCGTATCTGATGAATATAAATCACATCTTTGGTTAAGTCTCAAGTCGAAATATTTCCGCACTTAAAGCATGTATTCTGTGTTTTTCTGTTTTATTTAAGGCCAGAACCTCAATAACTTAAACAACTACCCAGAAGCCTATGTAATCTTCAGGAATTATGTCGTCGAGTTTTTGTTTTCAAATTTTGATTTTCTTGAACAAAGTTGGAGTTAAAATTTCGCAATATATGTTTTGCTCTTATGCCTATTGTCAATTCCTTCTACAGTTCTGGCTGTATTTAGTACACAGCTCTATTATCTGTGGCCATCTTTTATTTTGCCTGACAATTTTTTCAATGTATTTTTGTCCTATTGCTGACTCTTTATCTGCTAGAATTAAATGCTGACTCGTTGTGCGTTGTGCATGATTCATGAATTGAACTGGGAGGGGGGGAGGGTTCAGCGGATGGTAACTTGTAGCTATCTCGTAGTATTTGCCCTGATTCTATTGACTTACAGGTAACTTTACCTGTTTCGGGTGTTTTACGTATCACGGATGAATTTCTGACAAGTCATATGAAAAATTCGCTCTGCATTGCTACATAGTCCATCACCCCGAATATTGACAACATTATTGAATAAAAGCGTTATCATACTTGACATTGAAATATCTATGTGTGGTAAAAACATTCGACTTTACTGTATTTTCGTATTTTCATTGTTCTTATAATTTTGGTGTAAGGGTTTTGTTCTTTTTTTCATCAATTGTAGTCAGTATAGTGAAAACTAGAACATAACTACTATGTCAAGTGGCCCGCGCAATCATTTGTAAGCTAAATGTGGCCCTTCGGCAAAAAGGTTGGACAACCCTGCTCTGGACATTTTAGTGGCTGTAACTTTGCTCAGAGAGGAGTCTACTTCACTTCTGAGCAACCTTGATTTGAGCAGATTTCCTGAAAAAATCCTGGATTTTGTGGGCGGCAAGGTCAGCATGTCGAACCATAATGTGTAATAGATCAAGTGAAACTTATGTTGTTCTGCATATGCATTCAGGGCAAAGGGTTCTGTGATTAATTCCAATTGGCAGACGAGCAAAGAAAACCAAAAGTTGCATAATTGTGAGGTGACCAGCTACGAAAACAAGCCAGGGAATTGCAAACTTGTTGGTTAATATTCTAAATTCACAGAAATGTGACTGAAGAGCAATGAACCCTACAATGACAAAGAGACCAGGTATCATCTTGTGCATAACTATCCCTCGCAGCATTCGATCCTGTGAACCCATGTGCAGCTCACATACATCGGTGCAGTGTACCAGATTCATAGACTTGGTTTAAAACTGACTCGTGTGAGTAAGCCTACAATGACTGACAGTTCAGTTATTACAAGTCCAGCACTCCTCTCACACATAGTTGCCCCCACAGAGTCTGTGTTATGACTAGTCCACTGATTCCTGAACTTTCAGTTGACTAATGTTAATTTGTCTCCATGTTGTGAACATCTCTGAATATTGGTAAAACCAGTTAACAGCTTGTTGCAATGCTCATTAAAACTTCTCACTGAGATTGCTTTTTGTGAAGCAGAGCCCCAATCTCGCGGAACCCCCAATGGTTTGTTCAATTATCTGAATTGTATAAACTATAAGTATGAATAAATGCAAAACCGAATGATTTTTATGTGTAGCAAGTTTGATGGTGCAGTATTTTATTATGTCTACACAATATTACGAACCATTTTAATTTTGTTATGAGGTCAGTTCTCAATATATCTTAACCAGACTTGTTGTTTTTAATCAGTAATAGTTTTAAGTATTTTCACTTTATCCAATATATCTGCGAGGGCCAAAACAATATCTGGTATCGATAAAATCCCACTTCCAAATTGGTTCGGCGGTGTGGCTCATCATGCGGTTAGGAACTAGCTTGCCACTGCACCTCTGATTACTCTGTGTGGGTTCGCTTTCCTCTCCCTCGGAATAAACATGTAAATCCTATTCTTTACCCTGCTGGTACACAAGCAAACCACAGAGCAGAATTCACATTCACTACTTTTAATAAAGCTTCAAAAATTTGCAAGAAATAAATAAAACCTTACGGCCAAAAAGTATTTTACTAATTCTTCACTCAATTATTTTATGAACAAATATTTAAATAAAATAGAAAGGTAAACATGATCCATAGTACGATTCCAAAATAAGGAAAAAAAATTGTTCCGAATTGCAGGAAAAAATGTACGGTTTGAGGTATAACCGCCTACAAATAAATACATTAATGGGATTATTTTTGATAATTGCCAAAACCAAGCTTTCTGGAGGAAAGAAGGAGAATTAAATTATTTGATTTACTGCCAATTTTTGGAAAAACTGACCAATTACACACAAAACCACGAAAACGAGGCAATGATTACAACCATGCTTGAATATCTGTCTTGAGCGGCTGCACAAAGTGCGATTGTCACATTATTTTATTTTAGCTGATTGGTTTTGTTACAGGAATAAGCAAGAAAAATTTATGCTCTGGAAAACATCCATTCAGATGGTTTTGGCAAGATCGGGACTGTGGAATGAGAGTTATGTTGCACGTGTAGATTCCAAAGCTAAAATTTCGTCTAATTCAATTTACTAACAATAACTAACTAAGTGATTCAAAAGCCATCTGCACACTAACACAAATATATTTCTGTAACGTTTCGTCTGGCCAAGGTGCAGCAAAACTCTTGAATTACTTAGGTTAGTTATCTTTACTCTTGCTACAGCATCCTCGCATTTTATGCATAAGGATCCGCCGGCACAAAAGCATAAGAGTTAGTCTCGCAGAAACCAAATCATTAGCTCAATTTACTAAGCTGCAAGATGTTGCCGAACTGACTATTTTTGTTTCGTTTTTGGTAGTAAATTCTCCCTCCCCATAACAGAAAAGTTTTCATTTCAGAATAAAAATAACGAGGAACATTTCAACAAGTGTGGCCAAACATGAACCAACCATAATATGTGTAATTCAGGCATAATTTATCGAATTGGTTTCCCTTGAAGCAAATTTCTTTGCAAGGTCACTCAGTGGTAAAAGAGACCCAACTTTGAACGAAGTTACAAGCTACCAGTAAAATTTCAAGAGATATTAAAACTATATAGTATTATACGTCGAAGTGACACAATTTTTGAATGACATAGTCAGGTGGGGGTTAGGAATAAGAATATTAGAATAACACATGCAAAAATGGTTATGCCATGCCAACTAGATACACTTAAGTCATGTTGTGAACATGGCCCAAAATGTCAATGTTTAGCGAAATTCCTATATAGATGAAATTGGGCTTTCTCAGAGAAAAAGTAGGAGAATAATAAAAGTTTTAGGTGAAATCGATCTATTCAAAATGAAATTAAAAATTGGAGATGGATTCTAAAATACCAACGTTGCTTCTATTACATCCTAAAAACTCCGAATTTCGTATTTGGTATCTGAGCGTTCAGAGTTGCATGTAGACTCAGTCCGACGACCATTCTTGTATCGGTCGGATCAATAACGCCGTCATCCCAAAGTCGAGCGCTCGAAAAATATGGGTTCCCTTCCTTTTCAAAACGAGATATAATTGGGTCTTTTAATGCTTTTTCCTCCTCAGCTGAAAAAGTTTTTCCTTCGCGTTCTCTTTGATCTTTTGTTATTGTTGCTAAAACCGTTGCGGCTTGCTCTCCCCCCATCACGGAAATCCGTGCATTCGGCCACATGTATAAGAACCTAGGACCGTAAGCACGACCACACATTCCATAATTGCCTGCACCATATGACCCCCCGATTATGACAGTGATTTTCGGAACTTGAGCGCATGCAACTGCTGTAACCATCTTTGCTCCGTCCTTTGCGATTCCGCCTTCTTCCGCTTCTCGTCCGACCATAAATCCGGTTATATTTTGTAGAAATAAAAGTGGAATTTTACGTTGACAACACAACTCGATAAAATGTGTTCCCTTTAGTGCTGATTCAGAAAACAAAACACCGTTGTTCCCAATAATCCCAACAGGAACACCGAAAATACGAGAAAATCCACAAACTAATGTATCCCCGTATAATTTCTTAAATTCGTGAAATTTACTGCCGTCAACGACCCTGGCAATGACTTCTCGTACATCGAAAGTCCGTTTCAAATTGCTTCCAACGATTCCGTAAAGCTCTTCTGGGTCATATAACGGATCTTCCGGTGCTTTTAAAGTCGTAGTAACATCTTTCTCTCGATTTAAATTTTCGACGATTCCTCGTGCAATATGTAGCGCATGTGCATCATCCAACGCATAATGATCAGTCACGCCTGAATGCTTACAATGCAAATCAGCGCCACCTAAATCTTCTGGTGATACTTTTTCACCTGTCGCTGCATAGACCAATGGCGGTCCTCCAAGAAAAATTGTTCCTTGTTTCTTCACAATCACGCTTTCATCTGACATCGCGGGCACATAGGCGCCACCTGCTGTGCACGAACCCATTACGACAGCAATCTGAGGAATTCCTTGCGCTGACATGGAAGCCTGATTAAAAAATATTCGTCCGAAATGATCACGATCTGGAAAAACATCTGCTTGTCGAGGCAAGTTTGCACCGCCTGAGTCAACCAGATATACACAAGTTAAATTGTTTTCTTTAGCAATTGTTTGAGCCCTCACATGCTTCTGTACTGTGATAGGATAATATGCTCCTCCTTTTACAGTCGCATCGTTTGCGATGACCATACATTCCTGCCCCATTATTCGCCCAATTCCAGTTACAATCCCCCCCGCCGGGACTTTTTCTTTTCCATATAAATCATACCCAGCAAGTTGTGAAAATTCTAAAAATGGAGACCCAGGGTCCAACAATTCTTGGATTCGTTCTCGTACTAGTAATTTTCCTCGCGATGTATGTCGATTGCGAGCATTCTCATCACCCCCTTGTGAAATATTTTCAATGTTTTGCTTCAATTCTGTAACAAGTTTTTTCATACTTGCTTCATTCTCGAGAAATATTTCCGATTTTACGTCCGGATCTGACCCAACTGGTAACATAGCTGAATGGTATCTTGTATATAAACCATTACTGCAGCCCAAATTCCTGTGCAGCAAACTAGAACATTTTCTCAAAACTCTTTGGCACAATGCCATAACGCTGTAATTCGTATCACAACACCTAGATTACAAAACTGCAATACAGAAAAAATTGAAGATGAAAAAAGCACACATAAGAAAGCATGAACAGTGAGTAAACTCTGAATAACAGAATAAGCTTTTCAAATTTATTTAGGAACAGGAAAGACGATTTCATGACTTGTTAATCATAAAGCAACCTATGGTCCAGTAACTAACCAGCCCATGCAGTACAGCAGTAAGGCGAAATTCTTAAATTTCAAGATTCTCGATATTCTGACAGTGGTTTCACTAGAGGTATTTTTCTCTGAAATGAGGGGGTCTGTCACAAAATATGCTAGTCTCTATAATAAATCAATCGTGACGTGCATCCATCGTCACATGCTGACATGAATGACCAAAAGTGCGTTTTTTTTTTCTCTAAAAACTCTCGAATGCTATGGTAATATTTTTTCCTTTGGTAAATTGTATAATTTTTTGGGGGACTTCAATTGAGACAGTTCTAGATTGCGCTTTCTTTTACTTTATTGCGCATTTGATTCGAGTCGATATGGAGACCAAGGCTCTCTCGTATTGAAGTGGTTGCTAGTATGATATGACTAATAATTTTTATTTCATCGTCTTTTATTAGTGATAATTCCCATTTTCTTCTTTATTTGAAGTGCCAAGCATATGTCAGTATGTAGGGATCAAACTCTTGCGACTCCTTTTAATACAGTAACACCGTATTACATATTAGGTACGGTACAGTATTAAACGTCATTATTAGGTTTACTAGTTACCTATGTAATTGCATCTTGCATGTTCCGAATAACCGGTACCGGTACCGGTACTTACCAACATTCAAAGTTAGGTACCGTTACCATCTTGATTATCAGCTAAAATACAGCCTTAGAATAGGGTTGGATTTTACATATTTATCCCGGGGGAGAGGAAAAAAACTGCAAGTCTGGTTGTGTTTCAGATATTTAAATATATCAAATAATTCAATGATCACTTTGTCTTCTTAGGAGTTTCAGTTTAATTGCAGTAATCAAAAATATCCTATCCTAGTGTAGAGATAGCTGTTATAGACTAGGCTAAAATTCTTTACCGGTACTTTTAAAAAACAAATTGTTGAATGCTATGAGTCAGAATGATGGTTTGAAACAAAAATACCCCGGTCAACTGACAAAACCACTCTTAAATAAGCACCGAAAATTTTCACTGTTAAAGTATAGGAAGAATTTCACGGGGGTCAAAGGACAGGGGAAAGTTCAAAAATCGCGTTATCCGATCACATATCTTATCATGGTGCTTTTACTTGACGGCATCCGGAGACGAAGCCATAAAGTTTTACGCGCTTATTCGGCGCGTGGAAGGTCACGCCTATTAGTCGTCGTTTTTTACACATTCCAAAGCAGGAGGTTTCGACCCGCAGAACCATGGCTACGCCCCTGGGCACATCGTGCTAATCGTTGGGAATACGCTCGCCGTCGCCATCTGATTTCCTTGCGGGGGTTCGGAGCTCATGCGGGGTAAATTTCATGCGAGAGGATTACTGGATGCAAGAAATTTAAATCACCTTAAATAATCACTTTCGTCTTGTTGAACAGCTCAATAGTGCAGGCTTTGGTTTCAAGGCAAGTTGAAATTAATTAATATTGAAGTGGGGGGAAATGGGTCTCTTGTACGAAGCGCCCGCCACTAATGCAAAAATGTTAAATTTAAGAAATGCACTCTCTGCTGAAATTCCGAATTAGTATTTAGTTGGGGTTCGGGATAAGAATGATGTGATATCACAGTTACTATTTCCATTTTCTTGGATAGTATCGAATTTAATGGACCTTTCCCCGAGCATTGACTTCCTTGTTTACTTCGTGACATTGGCCAATCAGCAAGATGCAAAAAGTGACGTAACAATGCCCCCTTTTCGCATTCGCTCAGACACTTTTCTCACTCAGACAGATTTTCAAGCGTGGTTGTAAACATTACCTCGTTTTCGCGATTTTGAACTCTATTCGTTAGTTTTCAGTTGTGTTCAGGAAACTTAAATATAAATCAGATAATTCAGTGATCACACTGTCTTCCTAGTAGCTTTAATTTAATTGCATCTAAACTTTTGAATTGTAAAAATAATACCAATATGTTTTCCCATTGCCGGTTCAACAGTGTCAGACACCATGGATCTTTCCCCGACGTTTGAACCTCGGAAAATTCTCCCTATACTTTACCATTGCAAAATTTTCAGAGCTATTTTAAGAGTGCTTTTGCGAGTTGGCGCCTCTAAAATGGGGTATGTGTTTCAAAACATCATTATGATTCATCGCATACAACAATCTGTTTTTTAAAAGTACCGGTAAAGAATTTCAGGCTAGTCTATCACAGCTATTTTTACACTAATTTTTATTACTGCATTTTGAACGAATGTTTAAAATCAATCTAAATTTTTCCACGAGCAGGAAGAGAACAAAATGCCTTGGTGCGGCCCGCAGTATTTCTATATCTGGTTTATGGCGAAGATTTGAGCTCTTATTTAGAGACTATGGTAGCGCGGAATTCACGGCCTTAAAAGCCATTTTCACTAATTTTAAACAATTTCCAAAGTATTTTCACAGCCGAGCTCTCTCGTACTCAATTGCACAAAAATACAACTTAACCGCGAAAGCCATCGAATAGAATGCAAATAACAACAATATCCAAGCATTGAGGTAGGTTTTCGTGAAATATTTTCGGTGTGATACAGAATTACAGAAAGGCTTTTGTTAGTGGGTCAATACAGACGAGAAACTTTCGTTTCATTTTCAATCCCATCACTGCCTAATATCGATATCTGATCATAGGGTTGAATTACGTAGACGCATTTAGGGTGCGATATACAATTATGGGTTTGCCTTATATAGGCCGGTAAAGATACCAGGGTTAAGTAATTGTTGTGATAACATGATTGTGTTAATTGGGTACTAACAAGCAATAGAAACACACCTCATCATTACATAAATATGTTTAGATAGCAGAATTTAAACCTAAATAACCATAACAAAAATATTCAAATCGTAGGGTAGGGTTGGGTAGACATATTTAGGCTATTACAGTTAACTGCAACACACCTTTTTTACAATAATATATACGTGTCTAGTGGGTTGACAAGCCCTAAAAATTAGATTACGTTTGCCAAGCCGAAGAGGGGCCATTTATATGCCTTCCATAGGCTGATGTGTATTGGTCTAAATGTCATGTATTAACCCGCTACACAGCTGTTAAAGATTGCAATCTGATTCATGCGGCAGACTTATATCCACTTGGAATAGTAAAATATTCTGTACTACCGTCGTGTGTGTACAAGGTTAGTGTTAGGCCATAATTGTATTCCGATTTATCTTTTTTTAGTTCTATTACGAGTTCGGGGACTGTATGTGTTAGCCAAGTGAATATACCCCCTGCCCATTGGTTTCAGTCCCTATACACAAATTGATGTAAAGTAGGCAACTAAAATTACCGTAAATGCTCGTTTTAACGCCCGGTCTTGATTAAGGGCCCGATTGAATAGCCGCCCGTGTGAACAGGACATGAAAATAAATAAGGGATGGTGCTTGAATACCCGCCCGGTGTAAAAGTTTTTTTTTTTTTTACGGATTTGTACCTGCGGTGCGTAGGAAAAGTCAAAATTTGGAAATGACAATATACGGTATTAATTATTGTAACGATCGATCTTATCTACCGGTATTTTTGTGTGTAATTTGACTTTAAAAATAACAAGCGCCCCTGCTTGAATAAGGGCCCGTTTAGTGAGTATGTTTAAAAAAATAAGCGCCCGGGCTATTAAACGAGCAAATACGGTAGTTACCTCCATATTGGTACACATACTTCTGAAGCGCCAAAATTTTCGCTGTATCTCTCTGATCAAGGAATTCCTTTTTCTTCGATTTTGCGGAGCTTTCATTCGTAACGCTGATTCCTCACGGAGTTGACTAGAAATGTTTATTCAAGTCTGCACTGACCAGTCTATCTGCTGTTATTTTTGTAGCAAAGCTATAAAGTTCATGTACCTTCTTTTATCCATGGGTGGGCAAATTTTGCCCACCTAGACCGGCGGGCCATGTAAGTGTGACGTAAAAAGTTACATTTTAGGAACATAATTTACAGTGTTACAAAAGCAAACGGGAAAAACAATACTCCTCGTGCCAAAACTAAATTTAATCGCAATCTCACCAAATTCTTTGGGCTATTTTTTAGCTAAAACATCAAAATTTGATTTTGGTTTGGTTGTGGCCTTAGTTTGCCGATGTCAGTTCGTTCTATACCTTTTGTAGCCTATCTTAGATCGCCCGATTTCTCAGAGATGACTACCTTTCAGTATAATTCCCAGATTTTTTAATGTTAAGGGCGGTGTTTCCAAATTCAGGATGTTGTAGAAATTGTGTTACTGGCAATAAGACTATTTGTAACTTATGAAATTGTGTTTGATATTTGACTTACCTGGACTGGTAAATACGCCACTTTCTAGATATTCAAATACAATTTTATTCACGTTAAGAATTAAAATGCGGATTCACAGCACTTTATTAGGGGAAAGGGGCCGGGTTAAAATTATAAGGGAGGGGGAGGTTAGGGGGTGCACCCTTGGAAGAGGGGTCACTGCGGCGGTTATAATTTGCGGTGCTGATAATTTTTTAAATTACGTAAATGTTAACACGCCAGTTGTCGCTGGGAACCATTCTCTGAATTATCTGTTGTTGCTGAAGACTCGGGACTTTAATCTGAGCATACTTGTCAAAAATCATGATCACATTCAAAATCAAATACTGACTAGATGGATTTGTTTTGTCATAAATGGGTTAATACTCTATTCATGCGTCACAAAGCATGATGAGTCGAACGTTACGGTTGCCTGCTAATGACAACCGGTTATCGTACACGTTTTTAACAAAGCGAAGGTAATTTGTGTTTACGAGAATTTTTGGTATATCGAGATAGACAAGAGTTAAGTAAAGTAAAACATTATTATTGTGTTTAGTTTGAAAAAAGTTCGTGGCTGTTTCGTATAAAAAGCAGAATTTGTGCCAATTTTTG